GGGCCTCCGGCCTGCTGGCTTCCCTTGCGCATCTTGGACTTACCAAGCCTCCACAGCCACATGAGCCAATTCCTTAAGATTAAAAAAAAAATCTCCCCCCACACACATACACACCTTGTGGGTTCTCTCTGCAGAATCCCAATACAGGTACTGACAAGCTCATAGATTCTATCAACAGAAATACAGGTACAGCAGCAGATAGAAGATTCTCTCTCTCTCTCTCTCTGACTTTCAAATAAATTTTTTACTTAGAAAAGCATTACCTTTCCTTTCACACCTATGGTGCATTTAAAAAGATGTCCACCAATTCTTTGCTCCTCCTCCCATCAGGTTTAATTCCTTCCCCTGCAGCACAGGGTGGACAGAACATGGTAGAAGTGACTATACAGAACCTCACAGATGAGGCCAGACACAACTGCACCCTTCCTGCATGTCTCAGGCTCTCCTCCTGCCTCAGCACCCTTGTTTGTTTCTGGGGGAAGCCAGACGCTTCAGGATCTTGAGCACTGCTATGGAGGTAGCCAGGGGCAAGGCCTGCCGCCAACAGCCACTCAGGTGGATGCAGATTCTCCAGTGCCTTTGGGGTTTCAGCCCCAGCCAACCGTGTCCCTGGAACATCATGAGAGCTGCTGAGCCAGAACCACCCTGCTATAGTAGTTAAAGTACTCGCTGGCTCATGCATGAAACTGTGTGAGACAACACACTTGTAACTACACTTTGGGAAGATATTTGTGAGACTAATGTGTTTTAGTGAATGTTAGCAGCCAAGTACTGAGGATTTGTTACATAATAAATAACTAATACCACACTCAAATCTGTAAACCCCTTCCCTGGCCAGCACATGGGATTTCTCCTTTCTCTGTTTCTCCATGGCATTTTTGCAGATAATTACTGTAATACTGCCATTATCAATGCTCCCGTGTTTGTCTTCCTTGTGAACTGCTTGAGAGTAGGCCATTTTTATCTATCCACATTAAGTGAAAAAAAAAAATCAAACCCAAGTTTGGCACATAAAAGCTCTTAATAGTTAAGCTACTAATTAGGCTTCCTATCTGTCCTACCTTTTGCAAATTTTATCCCATTTAATGCTCATAAAAGCTCTGAGATATACTATCATCAAGGGGAACTAAATGGAGGGAGGGAAGAAGAGAGATGCATATCCCGCATCTGCTGGTTTACTCCCTGCAATGCCAGCAACCAGGGCTTGAAAAAGCAAAACGATACATTGTTTCAATGATATATTTTTATTCCAACCAAAATAAATAAATAAAAAATGTTTTATTTAAGAAGTCCTTCTGATATGCAGATTTCAAATAGGTGATTGCTATTCAATTTCCAAGGCTCCATTTAATAGGGCAGGAAACTAGTGATCCCCTGTGAGGTCTTTTTAAAGCTAATGATGAGAAAACTAAAGCCAGTTTACTGCAGGTCGGACAGAATCTGGAAAGCAATCTGAGGCTTCCTATTTCAGAATTTCTGGCTTGTTCAAGTCCCCGGTATGCTCCTGATTCTAGCTCTCTGCTAGCATGCACACTGGGAGGCAGCAGATGACGACTCCATTATTTGAGTCTCTGCTACCCATGGGGCAGAGCTAGACCGAGTTTCTGGCTTCTACCTGGCCTAGTCCTGGCTACTGAATAGTGAGGCAGTGGATGGGAGCTCTGTTGTTGGTCTCTGCCTTTCAAAAAAAATTAAAAAATTAAAAAGGTACATGATTATGACAGTAAATCATTTCCTTTTTGTTGCTGTAAGCTTTAATGTTTCTCACATGGTACTCACATAAATTATGTGCTGGAAATATTACCAAAAAATTTCACTTTGGACCGAGATGACTAGAAATTTCTGTCATTAAAGATTAAATAGCTTTGCCTCCTTTACTCATAATAATGTAGCCATTGTATTTCTCAGTTGTATCTCTCAAAGGATTAACATGCAAACCACTTTGCGTTCATCAATTTGATTTCCTTCAGTTGTCTTAGACTTGGGACTTGGTCTTGCTTTGTGTTACTTTGCATTTCAGAGCAGAGCCTTCGTTATGATAGCACAGTTCCCCAGGTGCTTCCTTAACTCTATCACTTGGCATCAAACAAGGTATGTTTTTATTTCAAGATGCAGTATTCCAAACATGAAATAAACCTAAGCAAATTTTAATAACCCTTTCTCCAGCAAAAATCAACTCCACAGAAACACAAATCACAATTGCTCACCAAATTTTTTAATATTTGTTCTAACATTAAACACGCCAAAGATAACCACAGAGTGAGTATTTTTGTTTGAAAATTTATTGCAAGCCCTAAATATGCATGGAGGAGGCAGTCAAGGGTAACGGCTGACAGTGCTGCCATGCTTTGGAATCAAATCCAGCTGAATTTGAATCCTAGCTGTTCCTCTCCAGGCCACACGGCCAATACTGGGGATTTACTTTATCTCTTAATCTTCTGTAGAATGGGAATGCTGTAGGGACAAACATGAGAGAATGAATAACAGTATTTGGTCCAGGGAGGCGTTACAGTGCAGTAGGTTAAGCTGCCATTTGCAAGGCCTATATTCCATGTTGAAGTGCCAAGTTCAAGTCCTGGCTACTCTACTTACAATCCAGTCTCCTGCTGATGTACCTGGAAATGCAGCAGATGATGGCCAAAGTACTGGGGTCCCTATAATCCACGTGGGAGGCTTGGATTGATTTCTGGGCTCCTGGTTTCAGCCTGGCACCAGCCTTGAGTGAACAAGCGGATGGAAGCTCACTTTCTCCTGTCTCTCTCTGTCACTCTGCCATTCAAATAAATCTTTTTATAAAGTGCTTGGTACAATGCCTGGGACACAGTCACCATGTGCCATGTGGAATACTAGTCAAATTTTACTCTTTAGGACAAAAGGGAAACATTCACAAATATATTTAAAAAGTATACAGGGATATTAATGTTTTCTTTATATAACTTGCGTATCTTCTCAAATTTCATAAAATTTCATTTTATTTACAAAAACAAGGTTCAGTTATTAGAAAAAAAGTGTTAAGGTCTGACAAACAAACAGTGACAAAAAAGAATGTCTTTTTACTTCTGTTCAGACAATTGGAACTAGTTCCTTACCCAACTGTTGATTAATTAATCATAATTATATTTATAGTATTGTAGATTGAATCACCACTGGCACCTTCACAGACAGTAAAACAGTTTTCATGGACCTAAACTTCAAAAACAATAAGTATATAATTAAATGGGAACACTTACATACTCCTGGTTACATTTTAATTGGCTCAATCCCCCTGCCAAGAAATTTGGCAAATCAGTATTCATGAAAAGCCATAAAAATGTAAATACTGAAGGACTCTGAAATGACCTGGGTTACACTTGTACATGAACATGTTCACTGAACTCGTTTTTTCATGTAACAGCTTTATTGATACATAATTCACACACCATAAAATCCATCCAAAATGTACAATTCAGTGGTCTCCAGTAACTTCAGAGCTGCGCAACCATCACCTCAATCAATCTGAGGACATTTTCATCACCTCAAAAAGAAACCTAACACCCTTTAGCTGTCACTCCCTACCCCGCCACCAATCCAAAGGCTGCCCTCAGTCCTAAGCGTCCGCTATTATTTCTGTCTCCATAGATTTGCCTATTCTGGACATTCATATAAATGGGATTGTATAATACGTGGTCTTTTGTGATTGGCTTCATTCACGCATAATGTTTTTGGAGGTCATATATCTTACAGCACATACAAGTACTTCCTTTTTAAAACAAATTTTAGAACTTATTTGAGATATAGATAGAAAGCTCCCAGCTACTGGTTCACTCCACAAATGCCCACCGTGGCTAGGGCTGGGCCAGACTGAAGCCAAGAATCCAATTCAGGTTGCCCATATGGGTGGCAGGGATCCAAGTACTTGAGTCATCACCTGCTGCCTCCTACAGTGCTCATTCCCAGGACATTGGTGTAGGGAGCAGAGGTGGGACTTGAACCCAGGCACTACAGCATCAGATGCAGTTGACTGCTAAGGCAAATGACCTGGCCCAGCACTTGCTTTTTATGACCAAGTAATATTCCATTGTACACCGCCTTTGATTTTGTGCATTCATCAGCTGATGGATGTCTTGGTGAGTTTTCTGTTCTATAATAAAATATTTGGGACCAAGTAATTTAAAGAGAGGTTTGCTTTGGCTCACAGTTCTGTAAGTCCAGGACCACGGTGCTGAATCTGCGTGGCTTCTGGTAAGGGCTACATGGCAAAAGGGGGAGCAAAGGAACAGGTGTTTGGTGCAACTGTTAAGATGCCTGCATCCCATATTGCAGTGTCAAGGTCTGGCTCTGCTTCCAGTGCCAGTTTCCTGGTAATGCAAACCCTTAAAGGAAACGAGGTAGGAGGAGTTGGACAGGAGAGGAAGAGCAAGCTCAGGAAATTGAATTTACTTTCTAACAAACCACTGACTGGAGAACTAACCCAATCTCTGCAGAAGGACTTTACTCCCTCTTAAAGGATCCACATTCTCAACATGAGTTCAACACTGTGACACTGGGGATGTGAGTTTTGGTGGGGACAAACCATAGCAATGGACATTTGGGTTGTCCCATCTTTTGGCCACCCTGAGTAATGCTGCTATAAACATTAATGTGCAAGCTTTTTTTAAAGATTTATTTATTTACTTCAAAGTCAGAGTTACAAAGAGAAGGAGAGGCAGAGAGAGAGGTCTTCCATCCGCTGGTTCACTCCCCAATTGGCCACAACGGCCGGAGCTGCGCCAATTAGAAGCCAGGAGCTTCCTCCGGGTCTCCCACGCAGGTGCAGGGGATCAAGGGCTTGGGCCATCTTGTACTGCTTTCCCAGGCCATAGCAGAGAGCTGGATCAGAAGTGGAGCAGCTAGAACTAGAACCAGCGCCCATACAGGATGCCAGCACTGCAGGTGGCGGCTTTACCTGCTATACCACAGCGCCAGCCCCAACATGAAAGTTTTAATTTTCATTTCTGTTGGGGAACATACCTAGGAGAATCTTTTTTTTGGACTTGCCACAGGCAATTTTATTTACTTATTTTTATTATTTTTTGAATTTACTTTTTAAGGAATACAAATTTCATAAGTACACTTTAGGAATATAGTTATTCTTCCCACCATACCCACCCTCCCACTCACTCTCCCAACCCTCCACCTCCTCCCTCTCCAATTCCCAGTCCCATGCTCCATTAAGATTCATTTTCAATTGACTTTGTACACAGAAGACCAACTCTATACTAAGTAAAGATTTCAGCAATTTGCACACACACACACAAACTGAGAACTATGTATACAGTTAACTCATAAATACAACTCATTGAGGACAGAGGTCCTAATTTAACAATTAACACTCTTATGATTGATTGTGGTCACCCGAAGGTCTCAACACGAGCTGCCTAGGTATGGAAGCCTTTTGAGTCCAGTATTTGGACAAGGCCATGAGCAAAGAGGAAACTCTCTCCCTTTTAGAGAACAGTACATCCTTCTTTGGCCGCTTCTTTCCACTGGGGTATCTCTCACAGAGATCCTTCATGTAGAACATTTTGTTTGCCACAATGCCTTGGCTTTCCATGCCTGAGGTGGAGACTCCGCCTTTGAAAGAGTGAAAATCAGAAGCCGATTTATGGTCATCATATATTAGAATTATGCTATCCTCACAGTACTATGCTGAAAAGCTATGTATTCTCCAAACAAATGTGGCTCATGAAGGATGAGGACCACGCACTAGTACAGAAAAAGGTTGCACGAAGTGAAACAGCAGGACACAAACACAGCCTACTTGAAATCCTTCCAGGGCTTCCCAAGGGGCTTCGGGCTCCCTGTTCCGTCCTTTAGATCTGTCCCTTGCCATCCCTGGCCTCAGCGCTTGCCAGACTGAATTCTCTCCAGGGCCAGTCACCCTGCTTTAGATTTTGAGACTATCAGCGCCACAGCCTTTGCCCTGTTGCTTTCTTGTCCGCTTTTTCTGCCCAGTGGTTTCAAGTCTCCTTGCAAATGTCACTTCTGAGAAACCTTTTCCGATATCCCAGCGGAGGCAGCTTGCAGCTCGATACTGCTCACACTGCTCATTGTGTATTCCGTCAGCCATCGGACACGGAGAGCCTGCTATCGGCCGGGGCAGATCCCAGCCATCTGTGAGCTTACATTCGAGGGAGGGGAAGTTCGCCCAAGCAAGAGAACCGAGGCCCTGGGTGATTTTCGATGGGGCTAATTAGCTAAACGGCTCTGTTGGGTGTTAGGACTGCAAACTCCAGGAAGGCAGGAGCTTTTTCTGTCCTCGCTTACTTAGGGTGTGCAAGCGTCTGCCCACTGAATAGCTCAATATTCTCTCACTTACAGTTAAAACGGGCACGTATAAGACAGAAATGGAAAACAGAAATGAGGCTATTTTAATAAATGGCTGAGTTTAAGGTCACACCCCCTCGTTTTCTCCTTCAAAGCTTTCTTTTACTACATATCCTTTTTTATAATCAAACAAAAGATGAACAAATATTACCATTTGGAGTGCAAGAACCTTAAATAAAAACATTTACGTCACCTCACTCACTCATCCAGGACTTGGTCGTAAAACCTCTGAAATACCCAGCCGCTGGTTAAGCAGCCATAATTCTCCTGACAGGTTACAGGGCAGGATCCCAGCCGTCCGCGGTGTCGTGTACCATATTTAAATACGGCCTTCAGCACCCATGACATGAGCTCTACCGGTTTCTTTCTTTCTTTTTTTTTATTTATTTGAAAGGCAGAGTTACAGAGAGGCAGAGACAGAGAGAGAGAGATTCCGTCTGCTGGTTCACGTCCCAGCTGGCCTCAACAGCCAGGGCTGGGCGAGGCCAAAGCCAGGAGCTTCCTCGGGTCTCCCACATGGGTGCAGGGGGAGAGGGACCTGGGCCATCCTCAGCTGCTTTCCAGGACGGCTAGCAGGGAGCTGGATCGGAAGTGGAGCAGCTGGGACTCGAACCGTTGTCCCCACGGTGTGCCACGGCGCCCAACCCCGTTTTCCGTTTTCTAAAGCGCTTGAGGCTCTCCCTCCACCTACACACGATGTGGCAGCAGAAAAAAATATCCCCAACTCCACTTAACACGTCATCGGTAACAAAACACCACCTGACTGTTATTTTACGAGGTCAACAAAGACTGCCAGACCTCTCTGCACAGCAGATCACCAGCCCGTTCCCAATTAAACTCTCGCCACACGCCAGGTGCCAAGTGACGTCGGATGAAACCAGGCAGCTCCAAGTCCGGCGGAGGCGCAGAGCCACAGAAACCCAGCCCCGGGGCCCGGCTCGGCCGCCGCTTTCTTGCCAGGCGCGCATGCGCAGCGCACTCTCCGGCCGCCACACGCCTCCACCAGCGAGCTGGGGCCGCTGACGTCATGTTGCGGCCGCCGAGGAACTCTTCCGCTCCTCAAGGAAAACGAGTCCGCGCACCTTGGGCTCGTCTGAGCCCACGGAAGAATCCCTCCCTCCTCCCGCGCTAACGCCAACCCCTTCCCCTGCCCTTCTCCAACAAGCCCGACTTTTTACTGGACTTCGCTCTATGTCTCTTGGAACGAGAAGGCGGCAGAGAGGGAGGAGGCGGGCTCACGTCACTGTTGTTTACAAGGAGTGAGCGCGCCTAGGGATCGGTCCGCGAGGGCGGAGCCTAGGGAGCCGGCACTTCTTCCTCCCCTCCCCTCCCTCCCCAGCCTTCCCCTCGAGCAGACGCGGCAGCGCCTCTGTCTCGCTTTTTCTTATTTTTTTCCCCCCTTTCCCCTTCCTTTTTTTTTTCTCCCTTTTTCTCCCCTTCCCCCCTTTCACCATTTCCCCTCGGAGGCGCTTCCCCCGGGCAGGGGCAGAGCCGGCCTCACCCCCCGCCTCTCCCCGGCCCCCGCCGCCCTATGGCGAGAGGGAGCCCCCTCCTCACCCGGGCACCAGCGGCGGCGGTTGGAGGAGCGGGACCGGCGGCGGCGGCCTCACGTCCAGGGTCACCATGGAACTAACTCGCTGAGCGCCTGGCCGGCCGCAGGCGTGTGTCCCGCCCGAGTGCCTGCGCCCTCCGTGCCCCGCTCCCCCTCTTCTCCCTCCTCATCGGCCGGCTCCGTGTCCCGCGCGCCCCGACGTCGCGCGCTGAGGAGAATGAGGCGGTGACGGGGCCCCCGGATGACCCCGCGTCACCCCTGTGAGGCCTACAGCTCTGCCGGGGTGGAGGAGGAGGAGGAGGAGGAGGAAGAGGAGAAGGTGAGGGGGCGGGGGCGGGGGGCTCGGCGCGGCTCCGCCAACCGTCGCCCGCGCGCGCGCGCGCCGCCCGAGTGGGAGCGCCGGGTGTCGCGCGCTGCTCGTCCCCGCCCGCGAGCGGCCGGCACCTGCCGGCAGCCTGGTCGGGCTGACCTGTGATTCCGTCGGCGAGAAACTTTGTAGGGACGGCAGCTCGCTGCCCCGGAGCGGGATCTGGGCTCCGCGAACCCGGGTTCACGCACAAAGCAGGACACGCCCCCGCCTGCAGACTTGGGCGCACCCCTCGGGATGCCTTCCCTTGGGAGGCGGGGTGGACGCCGAAGGGATGGGGCGACCCGCGCCAGTGCCGCGGGGGCCCGCCCCGTGCGCGGCCGCGGAGAAGGGAGTTGCACCCCGAGGGGCCGGTGAAGATCTCGGAAGGTTGCCAGGGCGAGCCCAAGGGCCCCCGCGGAGCCGAGCCTCTCGGTGGAAGTTGAGAATTGGGTAGCAGCATCGGGAAAGTTACCTGTCGGGAAGCAAGGAGGGTTCAGGCTGTGAATGCCCGGCCTAAAATGTGTATGGAGTTTACTCTGCCCTCGGGGAGCCGCTCAGCGTTCCGAGCAGCCACGCCGGATGGGCGCATCACCGGCCAGGCCCGCTCTCGCTCTCGCTCTCCGCCAGGCACGCCGCGGCAGTCTCGTTTTACCCTTGCAGTTAACCTGCCCTTTAGGTAACTCGCCTCGAATCTGGCGACCAGAGTTGAGTGACTCTAAGGCTGTGCGGTCTCTGTCCTGCGAGTGGATTTGTTGAGGAGGGTAACAGTGGTTGCTGCTCTAACTTTTCCTGGGTCATTTGTGGCAGATGGAATATAAAGGAGCGGGCAGATAGCTTAAGAAAGGACAGAGTTTAGAGGAGCTAACCTGGGACCAGAGGAGTGAGAGAGCGTGTGCTCCTGCAGGGGAAGTTTCTTAATGCTGATCCAGGGCAGACCAGTAGAGCATGAGCTTGTTGGAGCGGTGCTGCGGGTGATGTGGAGTTACAGGTAATGAGGTCGCGTGACAGTGTGGCATCCCAGGAGGTTAGACTGTGTCTTAGTCACGATTGGATGCTGGGAGTGTGTTCATATTTTACCCTGATTGTAAAATACTTTCTAAGTGAGGAATGTTAACCATTCTGTCGATTTTTCTTCATCTTTAAAATGAGGATTACATGAATTAATTTGGCACAGCACTTTGAACAATAGCTGGCCAACTAGTAAAGATTGAATACTTTTACTTGTAGGTGCTTAACAGGTGTAGGCTATTATTGCTAAGGCATAGTGTTAAATTTTGGAGGTTAGTCTTTGCCATTCAGAAACTCACAGTTCATAGAAGTAGGTCTCCAATGATCGTTGTGAAGTAATTAAATGCACAACTTGAATTATGTCCAATTACAGATGTAGCAAGGCAGGTCCCAGTTGTACCATTTAGAGTGTACTATTCACAGATTGAGACACTTGAAGAATGTGTGAGCTAGACATTTCAGGTTCAAAGAACAGTGATCAAAAAGGCATTCAGACGAAGAGTACATAAAGTCACGGAAGGAGCAGAACATGAGGTTCTCATATGGTCACGTAAGTAAATCCTTGTTCCTTTGGAAAGGAAGGAAGATCCAGAAGTTAGCACCAGTACAGGATTATTAGCAAGAAATGACATTGTGATAATTACATAATATAGTAATGAAATTGTTTATATTGTATACCCATCTCTCTGCAGTACATTTCCTTAGAACAGGAGGCCTTGAATGTGGGTATGATTAACATTTTATAAACGATTAACTCAAATGTTAAGTTATTTGATAAGCATGGAGAAAGGAGTGAAAGAAGCAATGACAAGAATGGAAGGAGAAATGTGAAACTCTTATTAGATATGTGTGGACTATGCAAATCAAAATTGTCTTTTTTAGTTCCTAAAAAAAGAGTTCTTTTTCTGGATGTGACCAGCAGTGGGCATACAGTAACAAGATACAACTATAAAATTCTGTTACTTAAAACAGAGTAGTGTTATATTTTAAGTGTTTGTATTTTATTCCTTAAAAATTCATGATTCAACTCAGTCTTTCACACATTAGAAAACAGGCATGGCCGGCGCCGTGGCCCAGTAGGCTAATCCTCCGCCTTGCGGCACCGGCATGCCGGATTCTGTCCCGGTTGCCCCTCTTTCAGTCCAGCTCTCTGCTGTGGCCCAGGAGTGCAGTTGGGCCCTGCCCCGCATGGGAGACCAGGAGAAGCACCTGGCTCCTGGCTTCGGATCAGCGCGGTGCGCCAGCTGCAGCGGCCAGAACCAATGGTAAAGGGAGACCTTTCTCTCACTGTCCACTCTGCCTGTAAAAAAAAAAAAAAAAAAAAGTGCAGTGGAGGATGGCCCAAGTCCTTGGGCCCTGCACCCCATGGGAGACCAGGATAAGTACCTGGCTCCTGCCTTTGGATCAGCACGGTGTGCCGGCCGTGGCGGCCATTGGAGGGTGAACCAACGGCAAAGGAAGACCTTTCTCTCTGTCTGTCTCTCACTGGCCACTCTGCCTGTCAAAAAAAACCCAAAAAAACCAAAAAACCCAGGCATGTGCAGTCAGCAAAAGAGATAAAACTCATGCTATGCTTTCTCCATTATGTCATAGTATCTGTTCCATTAGTCCTGTAAAAATGTTAAAAATACATTGATGTAAGTGCTTCCATAAATTATGTGGTTTTTTTCTTTTTTATATTAATCATTTGCAAACGATCTCAAACTTAAATCCTTTACCTGTATTCACGTATTAATGTTTTATCATATTTCATTTTTTCTAAGTTGCATATCTTAAGAGCCCTCTCCATTTTTCAATGTGTAGCTCCTAAGAATAGGGATATTGTTTTACAGGATCACAGCAGTCTTCAATTTTAGTAAGTTTAGCATTGATATATTTGACTTTTGACCCAGGAATTACTTTCACAGCATTTATCTCCCTCCTTTACAGGAACCTTGGCTGGATTAGGTATTGCATTTTGATTTTCTTATAGCCCCATTTAATCTAATACATTCTTAAATGCCACCCATTCTTAATATCTTTTACTTGCATTACTTATATCCTATATTTTGAAGGAGATTTGAGCTGTTTTTTTCTTTTCCTTTGTTAGATTCCCTAGTATGAGCAAAGAATGATTTTTGTCTATTGATATGGTGTTACTTACCTTTATTTCTGAATATTAAACCAGCCTTGCATTCCTGGTACAAATCTCACTTGGTTATGATGTGTAATCCTTTTATGTTGCTGGGTTTAGTTTACTGGTATTTTGTTGAGGAATCTTGCATCTTTATTCAGAAGAGATTAATAATACGCAGTTTTCTAATAATGAGTATTTTATTTGGTAGCGACATAGTAGTAACTTGGCTTATAGAATGAGTCGGGAAAGCCAGCGCCATGGCTCACTAGGCTAATTCTCCGACTGCGGCGCCAGCACCCTGGGTTCTAGTCCTGGTTGGGGCGCCGGATTCTGTCCCGGTTGCTCCTCTTCCAGTCGAGCTCTCTGCTGTGGCCCGGAAAAGCAGTGGAGGATGGCCCAAGTGCTTGGGCCCTGCACCCATATGGGAGACCAGGAGGAAGCACCTGGCTCCTGGCTAGTGGCCATTTGGGGGGTGAACCAACGGAAAAGGAAGACCTTCCTCTCTGTCTTTCTCTCTCACTGTCTAACTCTGCCTGTCAAAAACAAAAACAAACAAACAAAAAAAAAACAAAAAAACAAAAAAAACAAACTCTTAAAAAAAAGGTATAGAATGAGTCGGGAAGAATCTGCTTTTTTTGGAGGAGTGTATGAGAAATTGATATTTTTCTGTGGATGTTTGATCGACTAAGCCAGTAAAGCCATCTGAGCATGGATTTTATTTATTTGAAAGAGTGACAAGAAGTGAAAGATGGAGAGAGATCCTCCATCTGCTGGTTTGCTTCCCAGATACCCTCAACAGACAGGGCTGGGCCAGATCAAAGCCAGGAGCCCATAATTCCATCCAGGTCTCCCATGTGGATGGCAGGGTTCAAGTAGTTGGGCTGTTTTAACACTGCTTTTCCAGACACATTAACAGGGAGCTGAAGCAAAAGCCAATAGCTGGAACTCAAACTGGTGCATGCTCATGATGGGATGCTTGCATCTTAAGCAGTGGATTAACCTGCTGTGCTACAACTCAGCCCCTGACAATTTTATTTTAAATTACTAATTAAATCTGTTTATTTCTTACACAGCTCTTCATCTTTTCTATTTAAGTCAATTTCGGTAGTTCATATTTCTAGGAATTTGTCCATTTCATCTAAATGGACTAATTTGCACACAGTTATTCATTAGATTCTTTTATAATTCTTTTTATTCCTAAGTAGATTGTAATATCTACTTAGATTCCTAATTTTAGTAATCTGTCTTCTCTGTTTTTCCTGGTCTAGCTGAAGGTTTTTCACTTTCAAATGATTTTTGGTTTCATTGATTTTTGTTCCTCTGTGTTCTCTATTAATTTCCACTCTAACATTTATTATCTCCTTGCTTCTGGCTTACTTTAGAGGTAGCTTATTCTTTATCCATTGTCTTAAAGTGGAAGATTATTTGAAATTTTCTTTCTTAATACAGACATTTTTAGGTATTAATTTCCTTGTATGCACTGACTTCATTGCATCTCAGAAGTTTTTACATAATTTCCCTTGTGGTATCTTTGGCCAGTTCCCTTGTTGTTTTTGTTTTTGTTTTTAAAAAAAAGTTGTTACAGCATCTAAATTCTTGAAAGACTTATTCTACAGGCCTTAGTTTTAGGAGATTGGAGAACAGGGATCACTCCTTAATTGTAGATTGATCTTACTCCTCTTTGCATGATTCTGTTCTATATGTCCCTCTCTCTCCCTATCTATGTCACTGAAAAGTAACCTTCAGAAGAAGCCTTGTAAGGGAAAAGCAGTCACAAATGGCAGTTACTTGTGGTGCTTTGTTGAAAAGGCTGGTGGATCCTGGTGAACCGCCTGGTTGATTGTAGCCAATGGCATAAAGAATTCTTTAATTTTGAGGTTTTTAACAAAAATTCCTAAGTACAGATTAAAATTAGATTTGGCACTTTTTATTTCAATTTCTCACATCTAAAAAAATAATAGATTCCATAAATCTGAAATACCAGTAAATATTTGAAAAAGTAAAATAGTTTTACTTCTGAGGTTTATAATGAAAATAGTATTCCCCTGCTGCAGTAGCTTTTCTTATTCCTCAGAAGCTAACCATTTCTCATTTGTAACTTGTTTCTTTTGTTATTAAAGACCATATTTTCAAATAGCTTGCCCTGTTGTTGATTTTTGATGTTTCAATTTTAAGTATTTATAGATTTTCTACAGTGAAATGTGAAGATGTGGTCTCATTCTACTCTCCCAACACTCATACTTATGTCCCAACATACTTTTATGGAAACAGTTGTTGAAATCCTTGATCAACATATTTATTATTATGCTATGCAAATATTGTATTATATTTATTCTCACATTCTGCTTTTTTTTTTTTTTTAAGATTTATTTATTTTTTGGAAAGGCAGAGATACAGGGAGAGAAGCAGAGAGTGAGCTTTCACCCACTGATTCACTCTCCAAATGGCCACAATGGCTGGGGCGGGACTGGGAGCCAGGAGCTTCCTCCAGGTCTTCCACGTGGTACAGAGGCCCAAGTACTTGGACCATCTTCCGCTGCTTTCCTGGATGCATTAGCAGAGAGCTGGGTTGAAAGTGGAGCAGCTGGGACTTAAATCAGTGCCCATATGGAATGCTGGCACCGCAGTCCACAACTCAACCTTGTATACCACAGCGGCCCTTCCATCTGGTTTTCCACATGGGTCAGGGCCCAAGCCCACCTACTTTGGGCCACCTTCTGCTGCTTTCCTAGGAACATTAGCAGGGAGCTGGATCAGAAGCTGAGCAGCTGGGACTGGAACTGTGCTCCTGTGCTCGTGTAGGATGCTGGTGTCACAGGCAGTAGCTTAATCTGTACCACAACTCTAGCCTCTTCAGCAGGCAGCTTTTTTTCTTTTTTCTTTTTTAAATATTTAATTATTTGAAAGAATTACAGAGGAAATGGATATCTTCCATCTGCTTGTTCACTCTTCAGATGGCCACAATAGCCAGGGCTGAGCCAGGCTGAAGCGTGGAGCTTCATCTAGGTCTCCCATAAAGGGGCCTAAGGACTTGGGCCATCTTCTGCACAGCTTTTCCCAGGCCATTAGCAGGGAGCTGGATTGAAAGTGGAGCAGCTGAGACACAAACTCGCGCCCATAAGGGATGCTGGAAATGCAGGAAGTGGCTTTACCTGCTACACCACAACACTGGTCCCTTCTACAGCTTTTTAATACACTTTGTTACCCACAATCAAACCTCTCAAGGGTATTGTTTCCTTTTTAAAAAAAAAAAAAAAAATCTTTTTGGACACTCTGTTATCCTGCACTGATGCTGACTGCTGCTCATGAAATTGCTGTTTATTTTAGAGAGCAGGCACTGTCTATTAAGCTTCCTAGGATCAACATTGACTAGTAGAACTTCCTGCATTGATAGAAATGTTCCTTTTGTGTACTGTCCAAATATCCATTAGCCACATAAGAATATTAAAATGGGTTAGTGTGACTCAGGAGTTGAATATTTAACTTTTGTCTACTTAAACTTTAAATAGCCAAGTGTGGCTAGTGGACACTGAATTGGAAGAATACATGGTGTCATACTTAAGGACATGGTTTCATACTGAAGAAGTGGGAATGAGTAGGATGTAATTGATTTTATTTTGAAGGTTTATTTATTTTGAAAGAGTCACAGAGAAAGAGGGAGACCTCCCGTCTTCCAGTTTACTCCCCAGATGACCGCCACAGCCAGTGCTGGGCCAGGCCAAAGCCAGGAGCTTCATCCTGGTCTCCCACATGGTTGGCTGGGGCTCAAGTACTTCAGCCATCTTCTGCTTTTCCTAGCATAGCATGGACTGATGAGCAACAGCCATGCCACCCTTGATATTTTTTTTTAATGAAGAAAAAACTGTCCCTGATTCAGATTAGCTTTTTAAGAAGAAAATTTGGACAACTGTATAACTGAATTTCAGATTTAAAGCTAGAATTTTTCAGATGACTGATAATTATAACATTTTAATATAATGACTTTTTTTTTTTTTTTTTGACAGGCAGAGTGGATAGTGAGAGAGAGACAGAGAGAAAGGTCTTCCTTTTTGCTGTTGGTTCACCCTCCAATGGCCGCCACGGCTGGCATGCTGCGGCTGGCGCACCGCGCTGATCCGAAGGCAGGAGCCAGGTGCTTCTCCTGGTCTCCCATATGGGTGCAGGGCCCAAGGACTTGGGCCATCCTCCACTGCACTCCCGGGCCACAGCAGAGAGCTGGCCTGGAAGAGGGGCAACTAGGACAGAATCCGGCGCCCTGACCGGGACTAGAACCCGGTGTGCCGGCGCCGCTAGGTGGAGGATTAGCCTATTGAGCCGTGGCACCGGCCATAATGACATTTTAAAGAGCTATAAAATCTTTCACTACCTCATAACATTCCTATTTTTGTTTTATGAATTGTTTTAATAAGTACTAACATGTTTATATGCATATATTGCTATATTCTGTAATTAAATTAAAAATATTATTTATGTTTGATTTTACAGGTAGCTACATCAAGCTGGGTGGCAGGCAGCTCCAAAGGATATCATGAAGTTTCCAGGACCCTTGGAAAACCAGAGATTGTCTTTCCTATTGGAAAAGGCAATCTCTAGGGAAGCCCAGATGTGGAAGGTGACTGTGCCGAAATTCCCTACAGATCAGGTAATGATTTCTCACTTTACTCCAGATAGATGAGTTCTGTTAGAAATAAGTGTACTGGTGCCATGCATAATAGTATCTTGACACTTAATTGGTGGAGTATGTACCATTAATGCCCTGTTCTTGGAGAAATATCTCTCTCTTTCTGAAACAAGAGTTAACCCTTTTTTAAAAAAAGTATTTTGAGTTACAGAGAGAGAAAAACATAGATACTACAAGTTTCCATCCACATGCCCACAAGGACCATGGCTAAAGCCAGGAGGCTGGAACTTAATCCAGGTCTCCCATGTAGTGGCAGGAACCCAATTATTGAGCCATAGCGTGTTGCCTTCAAGGGTGCACATTGGCAGGAAGTTGTAGACTGGAGCTAGAGCTGGGAATTGAACTCTGGTGTGGGATGCTGTTGTTTGTTGGTTGTTTTCTTGTTATCTGAATTATATATAGCTTTAGGAAGATAGTTATGTTCATTCTCTTACTTTATAATCTTAATACTAGGGGACTTCAAAAGTTTGTGGAAAAATGGAATTAAAAGATACTGGAAATTTTCTATGGTCTTTTTGAAGCCTCTCATAAGCTTTCATTTCTAGATGTACAAAGTGTCTTCCAAACATTTGTGGAAATAGCATTATCTTATTTTCCACAAATTTTTTGAAGTGCCCTCTTATAGTTAGCCATGGAGGCTGAATACTTTTATATGATTCTAATTAGTTGATGAAAAGCACTCTTATAATCATCAGTATTTGTAAGGGGGTTGAGTGAACCCTAAGGTATTGCCAGTGTTGGAAGCTTCCTGGAAGATAGTTGGATGACCTCTCAATTACTGTTGGCTATATGCCTTTTCTTTTAGAAATTTTTAGACTTCTGTAATATGATTATATCATAAACTCTCCAAAAGTTTATTGTATAAGATGTCTCATGTATCTTTTTATCCCTGGTACCTTACATATCATTTGAGATAAAGAATAGTGGCAATTTAAATCTGTAAGTTTTCCTCAAGGCATAGCTGACCATCCATGTGTAACTTGTTATATCCACACATAGAGTTCTTTTTTTTTTTTTTTTTTTAAAGATTTTATTTATTTATTTGAGAGGCAGTTACAGAGAAAGGAAGAGACAGAGAAAGGTCTTCCATCCACTGGTTCACTCCCCAGATGGCCGCAACGGCTGGAGCTGAGCCGATCTGGAGCCAGGAGCTTCTTCTGGGTCTCCCACATGGGTGCAGGGGCCCAAGGCCTTGGGCCATCTTCTACTGCTTTCCCAGGCCACAGCAGAGAGCTGCATCGGAAGTGGAGCAGCCAGGACTCTTAACTGGCACGCATATGGGATGCTGGCCCTGCATGCCAGGGCTTTAACCCACTGCACCACAGTGCCAGCCCCCACACATTGAGTTCTTCCAGCTTTTCAGTTCTAGTAATTTTCCTCCAAATTTGGGGATGGGGTAGGCTTCATTTCTCTAGTAAAATTCTTTCTTTTCTTCCATTTTCTTTTCCTTCTATTTTCTTGTACATTAAGTCCTTTTCCCAGAAGATCTCGATCTTTCCGCTACTTTTCGTTTTTCTTCTCCTGGGTTTTGTTTTCTTGGTTTTTTTCTCTTATCATCCCTGATGATTTTTTATTTGATACTGAACATTGGAAAAAATTGTAGTGATTCTTGAGTACAATACCCTCTTCCATAAAGGGTTTAGTGTCCCTCCTCTCTGGTGGGAGCTGACTGAAGGCTGGATAGCAGTTGGCTTTGGTGTCATCTTGTTTTGCCCTGATTAGTAGAGTGTAGGATTCCAACTTAGAGTTTGGAGTATGTACCAGGACCCCTTAATTCCCAAAGGATGCTGAACTCTCTTGAACTCATTCTTGCTTTTTAGAAGTTTTCTGTGTAACTTCTTAGATCCTTGTTCTATACACCTTCAGAATTTCATTCAGAAATTCAGTTGAGTGTTAAATTCTGATTAATCTCTCTTCCTGGTAAGCTCTTGGCTCCTCATGTCTCCAAATTTTGTCTCTAGCTCTGTAAGACTCCTAAAAGCTCCAGTGGTTTATTCTTAGCTTCTTGTCCTTCCCACTTGATAAGCAAGTACTCTGGAAGAAAAGCTACGGCAGAATGTTGAGCTTATCTCTCGTTACCTCCTTTTCAAAAATCCTGAATTCTCAGGGCTTGGTAGTCCTAGCAGTTCTGGTACCATTAAGAACAGGTTGTTGCTATAGCTTTTCTACTTGTTCTCAGCCAGGGTGTGTAGGTTTGCTGATACTGATGTCATCCTGTCCAAAAGCAGAAGGTTTTGTTTTGTTCTGTTTTTAAGTTGAGTAAAATAAATACGAGAAGAGATGCAATAGGAGCACAGGAAGATTCAACCTGAGTTACAAGGAAAAGTGTGTGGTGTGGGCAGTGACTATTGAAGTAGTTCTTGAAGGATATATAAAAAAGCAAGTGGAATTTAGAATGAAGTATGTTCAACCAGAAGGAAAAATGAGCAAATAAACAGTGATGTAAAGTAGCATGGCAGGTGCCAGGAGGAATCATAAATAGAAGTAGTATACCTAAGTATGAAGTGAAAAGCAGAAAGTGCTGGAAGATGGATGAAGCAGGAGAAATAGGTCACAAAGGGATTTATATTACAAGCCTGGGGGCTGGGGGTTGTACTAAATGTTTTAGGTAATGCTAAACCTTTCAGAGATTAAAGGTGGGGGGAGAATTTGTTGAAGTTAGCATGTATTATAGCAGCCAGCCTATGTTTTGTCATGTGGCATCAATTCATTATAAATTCTCTTTCAGCTTAGTTGTTCAACCAGTTAACCAAATCCGCTTAACCTTGTTTGAGTAATTCATATGAGAAAAAAACAAACGGTTTCCTTCATGAAATTAGGAAATGCTGTTTGGGACTTTGCTTTCTTCTATTCTTTACTTTGAGTGAATGAGGGTAACTAGTTAGGCACTTACTGTCCTGATATTGTTTGGTACATGTTTGAACTGGTTTGAAGAACTGATCTTAGAATTAGTATGACTTTAAAGAGTAGATTTTCTCAATTTTTTTTTTTCTTTTTTTGTAATTGCTAGTTCTGGGTAGTGATGGTAACACCAGCCATGCAGGGATGCTTTCCTGTCCCTATTTTTAAATCTTTTTGTTTTGTTTTTGTTTTGTTTGTTGACAGGCAGAGGGGACAGTGAGAGAGAGAGACAGAGAGAAAGGTCTTCCTTTGCTGTTGGTTCACCCTCCAATGGCCGCCACGGCCGGTGCACCGCGCTGATCCGATGGCAGGAACCAGGTACTTCTCCTGGTCTCCCATGGGGTGCAGGGCCCAAGGACTTGGGCCATCCTCCACTGCACTCCCGGGCCACAGCAGAGAGCTGGCCTGGAAGAGGGGCAACCGGGACAGAATCCGGCGCCCCGACTGGGACTAGAACCGGTGTGCTGGCGCCACAAGGCAGAGGATTAGCCTAGTGAGCCGCGGCGCCGGTCCCTATTTTTAAATCTTAATGTAAGATGTATTAAAGTTCATGGAACTGACGCTGTGGTGCAGCGGGTTAACGCCCTGGCCTGAAGCACCGGCATCCCATTTGGGCGCCGGTTCGAGTCTCGGCTGTTCCTCTTCCAGTCAAGCTCTCTGCTGTGGCCTGGGAAAGCAGTAGAAGATGGCCCAAGTCCTTGGGCCCCTGCACCCACATGGGAGACCTGGAAGAAGCTCCTGGCTTCAGATCAGTGCAGCTCCAGCCGTTGCAGCCATCTGGGGAGTGAACCATCGGATGGAAGAACTTTCTCTGCCTCTCCTTTCTGTATAACTGACTTTTCAAATAAATAAAAATAAAATCTTTAAAAATAATGTATTAAAGTTCAAAGATAGTGTTATGATCTCTTTCATGACGAATTTTATGGTTAAAAGAGTCATTCATGTAACTTTTCATAAATTTGTTTTTTCTGACATCATTTAGTGGGAATCAGTTTAGAGGTGGGAAGGAAGAAAACTAATATTTGAGTGCCTTTTGCATTCTGTTATGTGTGCTTTACATAAGTTACATCATGTAGTTACTCTAACTATATTGTAGTCTCCTTAAACCATGTTCTCTTTTATGTCTTTTGTGATACATAAACATAAAATTTTATGTTTGGGTTGTTTAATGTCACACATCAAATAACAATAAACTGTCATTCAGGGATAATTTTTTTCTGCCATACTCCCGCATTGTGTGTCTAAGGTCCGCAGATGGTAGTTAGTGATACTCTCGTTTCTTATTGCTCTTGTACTTTTCACCTCCCTAAAAGCCTCCCCAGTTTCATCAGATTATATCACCATGTATCTCTACTTCTGTGAGCTTATTTCCTTGCTGATTTTTTTGGGTGGCATAGTTAACAATACATTTATTTGTTTGGCATTTTAGATGAAAGCATTGGTAGGAATTTAATTTCTTTTTTTAATTCTCCCTATCTAGAAGGTTTATGGCTGCCTTCATTAATTTGGTGCCCAAGGATCCTTAGAAGCCCCTAGTTCCAGGGTAGATTTGAAAGTAGCCCTTCAAGAATTTGTATGAGTAAGAGATACTGTAGAACCAGTGATTTTGCTAACCGTTTGACGCAGGTCCTAGCAGTTAGGCTGTACTGCTTCCTCTCACTTCCTAGAGAAACCCTAGTTCCAGACAAAGGTGTTTTGCAACTTTTTCCAGACTTTTTATAAGAGAGAAAGATCTTAGTTCTGGACTTTGTTAGTATTTTTTTGTTTGTTTGAAATCAGAGACAGAGAGCTTCCATCCATTGGTTTACTCCCCAGATATCTGTAACAACCACTGGCACTGCTGAGCCAGGCCAAAGCCAGAGGCCTGGAGCTAAATCTGGGTCTCCCATGTGGGTGACAGGGATCCAGCTACTTAAGCTATTACCTGCTGCCCACAGAATGTACAACAGGCTGGATTGGAAGCGGAGTTGGGACTTTTAACCCAACACTCTGATAGGGAATATGGGCATCCTAAGCAGCAATTTAGCACTGCACCAAACACCTGCCACTGTAATCCTGGGTTTTAATAGCCCTGCTCTAGTTCCTTCTGTCTTACTGGACAGTGATCTGTAGGATGTAAATTCTAACTCTGTGCACCCAAATCCCATCGAATGTACAGCTTTAGTCCGATAAACTGCTTTAAATTCCTGTTGCCTTTTTGATTTATGAAATTATTTGCTTCTTAGGGTATCCGTTTCTAGCAATCTTTTCTATCCACCTTGATTTCATTTGCAAGTCTGAAGAGCCTAACTATTAGTACTTACTAACCTTTTATGAGAGAATTCTAAACATAACTTTTGATGTTAACTTTTAATTTTATTTATATGTAATTGTTCCCTTACAGAATGTTTCTCCATCCCAGAGAGATGAAGTAATTCAGTGGCTGGCCAAACTCAAGTACCAGTTCAATCTTTACCCAGAAACGTTTGCTCTGGCTAGCAGTCTTTTGGACAGGTTTTTAGCTACTGTAAAGGTAAATATTTTAAGATATCACTTACACATAACCTATTGAGAGTTTTATGCTAAACCAGAGGCTGTTAGTAAATATTGTATAAATAGAAAGCAGTAGAAAACTTTCCTGAAGATCTATATACTTAGAAGACATGATATTTTGTGTTTTGTTATGTTGTACATTTTTGGAAGCATTTCTAACTCTTTAATCTCCTTTTTGCTGCAAGTATTTTTAACTTGTACTTGACCTGTAATGTTTTTGATAGTAAAAATCATATAGCATTTGTAGAATGTTTAGTCATTTTAGGACATATGAGAATTGGTACACAAGAGGTCGACAGTGAGTCAGACTAGAAAGTATAAATTTATTGCACCTTTTTTTCTGTTCCTATTGAATATTCATATTGTGTTTTTCTGAACAATATGTTTTCTAGGGGTATACTTTGGGGTATATAACAAGATGTCACAAAACAACTTTAGTATATTTTTGTTGACAGGCAACATACACATTAATAAGTTTTATATAATTCTGCTATAATATGTTGAGTGTTATGTTAAATTGGTCATATTAAGCCCTCAACTAATTTAAAACAGAAAGTCAGCATTTCTCTAATTGCTAAGCATAAAAGTGGAAAAACAGTTCAACCATAGCCACTTTTATGTATAGCAATATATAAACTTGGGGGAACTGCAAATTACATGCCTTATTATTAGGCATAAAAACAGAGGCCAAAGAACTATGGAATGTTAAAAAATTGGATAGCCACTCAGGTATGTATCTTTTATTTCAGACTTATACTCTTAAAAGACTTAGAGAACCCTTAATTGTAATGATGCTAATTGCCTCAAATCTGGGTTATCTGAAAGACTTTTTATCTCGGCAGCAACTCCTCCACCTTCCTCCATTTCCCTCTACTACAGCTGATAATTCCAAAAAAAGTTTTTGGTTATGTTTTTCAAAATTAATTAACTACTTATTGTAACCTCTATCATAAAAGAGATGTTTAATCATGAATGGAGCTCTTTAAAAGCATAGAACCTGAGTCTTGTTCCAGATACTGAATCGCAATCTCTAGTAGGTAGAATCTGGTTGTCTGTATTACACAACACAAAAACAAACTGCACAGATGGTTCTCATACATAATGAGAACTGAAAACTGCTTGTTTAAAAAGTCACATTTGTTGTTGATTTCTTTTTATTACTAAATTTATTATGAGTACCCTCGAATTAAGGATTCTATTGCCTACTCATTGCTGACAGTTCTTTTCTTTTAATGAACTCCAGTTACTTCAGGGTGTGGCATTATATATTGCCAAATTGGAATTAAGGGAGCAGGACAATATCTCAGCAGCAAGAGCTGACTTCCCTTCCTAGATCACGTGTATGATGTCCCTTAGACTCTGAGACTTGTCTCACCTGTAAGATAAAGATACAACAAATTTAATACTGTATGTGGAGGTGCTTTCTAAACCATAGTACTGTGATCAGTAATTATCATTTCTAAAATATTGATAGTATAGAACCATCTTGTATGTCTCACATAGAGGATTGGAAGATTCCACTTAGAATGAGACAGCAGTCATTATTTACGTGTAACAAATGTTGAAGCAGGTTTTACTGTTTTTTTGTATTATCCAGTTTACCTCTTGTGTTGCTCAATGTAATTGAACTAAATTGTTCTAATTGCTTCATTGGCAGACATGCTGAAAGTGGGCCTGCTTTATTTCTAAATAAATAGGCAAGATGAAGCCCTCTTATGTGTGTTAGGCCCAAGAAAGTTAAATGCTTTCTACTAAATGATCTTTATGGATTTGGAACCTTTTCATTTTTATCATGTAACTTGAATTATGTATGGGTTTGGGGTAGCATACTTAATTATTGGAGAATTTCTACTAATCTATATACAATTTTTAAAAATTTTTTGGGAATAGTTTATTAAATAAAAGTGTATCTTCTAAAAGCAAGCTCTTCTCTCCTGGATAGAAATTAGCTGTGGCTAACAGGCTTTGGTTGAATTCCAGCAGTGAAATGATTTTCATTGTTTCCATAGAGTACCATATGGCTAGGATTGTGATATTAAAAGTTAGCTCTGATCTAGAAAGGAATGGGTAGAAACCAAATCAGTTCTGTAGAACGGTGTGCATTCTTACTTCTTTTTAAAACAATTTTATAAACTCTCTGAAAGGTCACTAAAGTTTTTTCCCCCTCTTCAAATTTTAGGCCCACCCGAAATATTTGAGTTGTATTGCCATCAGTTGTTTTTTCCTAGCTGCTAAGACTGTTGAGGAAGATGAGGTAATAAATCCTTTCAAGACTACCTGTGTTTCTGCTTTGAAAATTTGTTTACTATCTTTGTTTGCCAAAAACAAAAATGAGTTAAGTTTTTCTGTCCTTCTGCTCTTACTCTCTTTTGTTTTGGATAGAGAATTCCAGTACTGAAGGTATTGGCAAGAGATAGTTTCTGTGGATGTTCCTCATCTGAAATTCTGAGAATGGAGAGAATTATTCTGGATAAGTTGAATTGGGATCTTCACACAGCCACACCATTGGATTTTCTTCACATTGTAAATATGCTTAAAGTCTTGTAGTTTCTTATTTGAATCTGTTGTCTGTTTCAGTAACCTGACAAATAGACTGTGCACACACCTATTTTGTACTGATTTTTAGGTAAAGGAAAACCACTAAAATTAGCCAAGAAAAAAATAAAAATTAGGATATTTGTCAGCTTACTGAAACTAAAATTGCAGACTTAGAAATTGGGTGATACATAAGGGAGTCACATCAGTTTCTCTGTGATTTTTCTTAGACATTCTAAGTAAAATTCAAATGATTTTCTTGTGATTTGTTTCCAGTTTCATGCCATTGCAGTGTCAACTAGGCCACAGTTACTGTTCAGTTTGCCCAAATTGAGCCCATCTCAACATCTGGCAGTCCTCACCAAGCAACTGCTTCACTGTATGGCCTGCAGCCACCTTCTGCAGTTCAAAGGATCCATGCTTGCTCTGGCCATAATTAGTTTGGAAATGGAGAAACTCATTCCTGATTGGCTTCCTCTTACACTTGAACTGCTTCAGAAAGCACAGGTATGCATCATTCTAATTAGAGTTCATTTTAGAAGTTTTTCTTTTTTAAAGAATTACTTATTTGAAAGGCAGAGATACACAGAGGCAGTGGGTAGAGATCTTCCATCCACTGGCTCACTCCCCAAATGGCCACAACAGCCAGGGCTGGGCCAGGCTAAAGCCAGGAGCCTGGAGCTTCCTCTGGGTCTCCCACATGGGTACAGGGGCCCAAGCACTTGGGCCATTTTCCACTGCTTTCCCAGGCACATTAGCAGGAAGCTGGATTGGAAGTGGAGCAGTCTGCATCACAGGTGGAGACCCAAGCTCTGCTACACCACAACACTAGCCCCAGTTTTTTTTCACTAGAATACACAGGATTATCAGGTGATTAGAAATGTCTTAGCCTTATAATCATAATCTTAAAATAGCATATCTTTCTTAGTAGGTAACAAGAATTTACATTTGTGGGATTTTTTTTTTTACCTCTTGTAAAATATAGATTATTTTCTTGATTCTTTTCTTTTCCTGAACTGATTATATGAGTTTTGAAAAGTTAATTATGTATGCTCTTTCAGGTTTGTATAAAGAAACCTCAGGCTATTTATGTTTCATGTATTCTCTATTTCACTCATTTTATAAAATATATCAAAAACAAAGATAAGTTGCTTTTTAGACAAGCTAATAGTTTGTTGGCTAGCAAGTGAAATATTTCTAACAGACCTTGGCAGGTAGAAGTTATTTGAAAGAGATTTGTCCTGGTATTTTCTGTGCCTTAGATTAGTTCATAACTTTTTTTTTTTTTTTAAGATTTTATTTATTTGAAAGAGTTACAGAGAGAAGTAGAGAGAGAGGTCTTCCATCTACTGGTTCACTCCCCAGATGGCCGCAACAGCTGGAGCTGCGCCAATCCGAAGCCAAGAGCTAGGATATTCTTCTGGGTCTCCCACGTGGGTGCAGGGGCCCAGAAAGTTGGGCTATCTTCTGCTGCTTTCCCAGGCCACAGCAGAGAGCTGGATTGGAAGAGGAGCAGCCGGCTCTAGAACCAGCACCCATATGGGATGCTGGCGCTTCAGGCCAGAGCATCAACCTGCTGTATCACAGCGCCAGCCCTAGTTCATAACTTTCATCCTCTAACTGGTATACAACATTACAGCTTGATAAATTATCAACCACCTATGTAAAATAATGAAGGTTTAGTGGAGAAAACTCTCATCTAAATGGAGAGGTGGTGATAGGCCTGTATATTAGCAATTACTTTGAAAATCATGTAACCAGATAAAACTGACCAAGTTCACGTCTGTTGCAAAGCATGACCCTACCTTTTTTCCCTTGAAACGTCTCTCTGTATTTTCAGTCATCAGTAGATTTGATGGGTTTCATGGGATTTTACTTAGAAGACTTATACTGCAAAATATTTTTAAACTCAGAATTTAGAATAACAGTTCTCTGCTCCAATTAGTTCTTTTAAAGTTTTAGAAAAACAAAATAATGCTTCAGTTTGCTGTTTTATAACAAAGTTAATAGACGTGAGCTGGGAAACCTAGCAGAAGTTTAAGAAATATCTCAGGGAGGTGGTATAGTGGATACCTGCGATGCCAGTATCCCATGTGGGCACCGGTTTTTGTCCTGGCTACTCCATCTTTGAAACATCTCCCTGCTAATGTGCCTGAGAAAGCAGCAGCAGATGACCTAAGTGCTTGGGCCCTGTCGCTCCCCCATTCACGGAGGAACGACACTAAACCCTGCGCTGTTCTTTTGTCTGCTCGGCCCTTCCCGGGTTGGCTGCCGACCCCTCCACCTCCGTGGAGGGGAGGCTCCCCCTGCCACTTTCCCCCGCTTCCGCGGAGGAGCGGCACACCACTGGCCGGCTCTCTCGGGGGCTGCTCAGGTGTTCCTTCAGATGTTCCTGGTGCATGTTGACTCTCTCCTCCTTTATAGTCCTCTTCCACCAATCCCAACTCTGCTACCCACATGCCGAGCACGCTGCTCTCCTCCAATCAGGAGCAGGATCAGCTCCTGCAGCTCATCAGTCAAATTGGCGAGAGGCAGCTGCGTAGAAGTTTGCTCCTCCCCAGCGCCATATTGTGGGAGAGCAGATGCATAGAATAAGTCTTAATTCCAGTAACTTAGTCTAGTCTCAGTTGCTCCCCACAGGGCCCAATGTGGGAGAGAAGCTTCCAGGAAGACTGAGCCAGTAGAAGATTTCTCTCTTTCAAATGAATAAATTTTTTAAAGGATCTCTGAACGATCAGGTTCTAAGAATTTCAGGTCCTAGAAAAAGGGTGAGCCTTTTTTTTTTTTGGACAGGCAGAGTTAGACAGAAAAGGTCTTCATTCTGTTGGTTCACCCCCCAGATGGCCGCTACGGCCAGTGAGCTGCGCCGATCCGAAGCAAGGAACCAGGTGCTTCCTCCTGGTCTCCCATGCGGGTGCAGGGCCCAAGCACTTGGGCCATCCTCCACTGCCTTCCCGGGCCACAGCAGAGAGCTGGACTGGAAGAAGAGCAACAGGGACAGAATCCAGCGCCCCAACCGGGATTAGAACCTGGGGTGCCGGCGCCGCAGGTGGAGGATTAGCCAAGTGAGCTGTGGTGCCAGCCTGGCTGAGAGACTTTTCATAAAAAAGGATAATAATCTTTTATTAGTGTATCTTACATTGAGTTAGCTTAGAGAAGTGTTTGCTTCCATTGAAATAAATGCAGTCATTAAAATAAAAGGTAATTGCTGTTCAGTGAAATTTTAGAAACTGTCATAAACTATCATAAATGAATGGTATGTCACAGGAGATACACTTTGCCTCTGTAAAGTGTTGGAAAGTTAAATATTAATCATTCACATGTTAAGTAGGGAAATAACTATTAACAGAAAACCATCTGTAGTACTTTATTGGAACAAATAACTTTGTCTACTGGAGAATCTGCTGATTTATGTTTTCTGGTGGTAGAAGGGCTCACTGAGATTTTTTCCTTAAACAGTATTTATAAGCATGACTTGATAGAATCTTCTGAGAAATCATTTATGCAGTCCTTTATTTTATAACCCCAACCTAGGGAAATTGGGACTTTCTGAGCATCACATAGAACTACCTAGAAGTGAAAAACTTAGAATAATCAGTGCTTTTTCTAGGTCATACAGACCTTACAGATGTAGTCCTTTTCTTTAGAAATGGAGGCCTTTTCCATACTTTCCCCAACCAAAACCTGATAATACACATAAGCCCAGAATACAAAGTAGAAAAATAGAGCCCAACTTCCTAATATGTGCTCAGGGCAGAGGCCTGTTGGGGTGCAGAGTTCTTGATAAGCTGTTTGGACATAGTTTGGAAACCTCTGTTCCATTTTCTTTTGTGTGTGTGTGTATATATATATATAGTTATATTGCAAACATTTATTTAGGAATCTGTTATCTAAACACAATGCTTAAGTTCTCTGTCTGATCTAGTATTCAAGTTGCAATGGGCAAGGAAGTGAAAAAAGTAAGGTTACAAAACTTGGTAGACACTTTGGATTTGATCCAGCAGATCTGATCTGAAACCATCTTATGCTCAAACATGATGGCTCCTGGTTTTGTAGGACTCAGTTCTGTCTGTGTTAAGTTTGCCTGTATTCAGGTAGGAACACCATGTCTAACATCTTTTTAAGTAGCCTTGTGGTAAAGCCATAGTAATATCAGATGTTCCCTCTGGATTTCTGGTTCTAATGCAGGAAATCCTTGCATCAGATTGGTTTGATCATGCTAGTTTTACTTCTGACATGAATCCTAGTGTTTTGGTTTGAGGAGGGTCTGTTGCAGACATTTTGTGCTATGAGGAGGCCACTATCACTAGCTTGCCCTGTCCCTTCGTGAACTTGACAAGCTGAGGGTGTATTCCCTGGTTTAAAAGGAAGCTGGCCTTTCAAACCATGCAACACTCCCTCCTAGCCTCGCCCCCCACCCCCCAGGCTCCCCACCCCACTCTGGGGTGGCTAAACCTTTTTCTCTTGGAAGTGATCTTCTCTGCTCTTTCTGCACTCATAGGCTCCTTTTTGTGACTGAAGTGGCACATCCTGATTATCTTAGTGTGTTAACTTTACCCGGATTAATGTGGTGTACTCCTAGTCCCTAACCATAAAGTAGATGGCCTAGAGGCAGGTATCTAGCCCACTGGAAAAGATGCCTGCATCCCACATCAGAGTACCTGGGTTTGATACCTGACATCAGCTTCCTGCTGATGCAGTTCTGGAGGCACTGATGATGACTCAAGTAATCAGATTATTCTAGTTAGAAAGTATGGTATTGATTTGAAACAAAGCAGGACAAGGGGCCGGCGCTGTGGCACCGCAGGTTAATGCCCTGACCTGAAGCGCTGGCATCCCACATGGGTACCAGTTTGAGACCCAGTCACTCCAGTTCCAATCCAGCTCTCTGCTATGGCCTGGGAAAGCAGTGGAGGATGGCCCAAGTCTTTGGGCCCCTGCACCCACGTGAGAGACCCTGAAGAAGCTCCTGGCTTCGGATTGGCGCAGCCCTGGCCGTTGTGGCCATCTGGGGAGTGAACCATCGGATGGAAGACCTCTCTCTGCCTCTCCGCTGTGTAACTCTGACTTTCGAATAAATAAATCTTAAAAAAAAAAAGGACAAGATCTGATTGTTGAAATAACTGCCCAGCAGGTATTTCTCAGTGCTTCATGCTATCCAGCAAAGCTAGGGCCACCTAGACTTGTAACTGATATCATGTTGATTATGTTCCCCCTTGCCATCAGTAATCTACTTGCATGCCTAATTCAATGCTACTTGATCTTGCTTGATAGTTGGAGGACTCTCAAGTATTATGTAATCTTTTTAAGAGAGAAAAAAATTGAATACCAGTTAACGTCTTAAAAGGGGCACATTTTGGATACTTAGCAGTTAACAATAAAAGTTTCTGTTCTCTTGTAAATATCTGGCATATAACTACAAATACAGAACTCAAGTTCCAAAGATACTTACATTGGGAATAGCTATGGATATAATCCCCAAGATGATGAGTAGGCTGGAGAAATAGATGAGTTTGGGGTAGAACATGTGAGAAGAGAGAAGGCTGGAGGGGAAGAGGCAGAGGCCACAGGAAGAAAAGGTGTCCCACAAAGATGACAGAGTAGCCCATGCTAACTGATCATCAACTTTGTGACTTTCTTCTTGAACCAGATGGAGAGCTCCCAGCTGATCCACTGTCGGGAGCTTGTGGCACACCACCTTTCTACTCTGGAGTCTTCCCTGCCTCTAAATTCCGTTTATGTCTACCGTCCCCTCAAGCACACCCTGGTGACCTGTGACAAAGGAGTGTTCAGATTACATCCCTCCTCTGTCCCGGGCCCAGATTCCTCCACGGACAACAGCAAGCCAGAAGTGCCAGTCAGAGGTACAGCAGCTTTCTACCATCATTTCCCAGCTGCCCTTGGGTGCAAGCATACCTCTGCTAAACGCAAAGTAGAGGAAATGGAAGTGGATGACTTCTACGATGGAATCAAACGGCTCTATAATGAAGATAATGCTTCAGAAAACGTGGGTTCTGTGTGTGGCACTGATTTATCAAGACAAGAGGGACATGATTCCCCTTGTCCACCTTTGCAGCCTGTTTCTGTCATGTAGTTTGAATGGGTATTACCTTCAAGTACAAACTAAGGTAGACCACTCTAGAAATGAGAACACGGAAAAATCAGGAAAGGCTATAGAAAGATATATACCTTATCAGGCTGATCTGAAGTGAGCCAGAAACAAATCCCCCCATTTAGTTATGTGGCTAATTGTAATTCAGTACTTCACATAAAGACAGCTATATTGAGATAGATACATATATCTATCTACTTCAGAAATATCCAAAATTTTTTAAAAAAAGTAAAAAATCCCCTTGTAGTCAGTTCTGCTCTTCTGTTAAAATGTAGCTTGCCCTGTGTCAAAATTTTTCTTTAAATTTTAGAATTCATAGCTTGCAAATCCTATCCCCAGCATCCAAATTTTCCTGTTGCTTTTGCCTGCTTCTCCATTGAATAATGAATTTTATGCATGTTGATCTATACCCCAATATCCACCGAAAAGGGCCCCACCCCCAATTTTTAAAACAATTATTTCAGCTTAATGGCCATGTTTAATCCTGATTCAAATTCTACCTAGTTTGAGAAAGGTACTATGGAATTGTCCTGTGTGAAGTAAGAAGTGGTAATAGGAAAATTGCTCACAATACCACTTTGCTTATTTCAGTTTCTATTGTTTGAAAGCAAAAATCACTGTCTTTAAGAGATGCTTTTTAAAGTGGCACATATTAGGTCACCCATAGATTTGCTGAAAGCATTTTTGACATTTGTATATAAAAGAATTTGTGATAAAGTTAATATATCAAGGTGCTCACCAAAGAAATATGTAACAACTAAAATTAGGTTTTTGTAACTGATGGGTTTCCACTCATTTATAATCAGTAGGAGAATGTCTAGATGTTGGGCAGCTCTATGATTTGAGTGTTACATGTACTAACTAAATTCAGTACCCTAGTTTTAATTCTGTATTGGGATTTTCTTGATGAAAGTTACTTCCCATCTCCCCAACCTACCTTTGTTCCTCTTAATGACTTCTGGATCCTGAGCTCCCTTTGCAGTCTGAAGGCGGCACTACAGTCAGAACCATGTCCTGATGTTAAAAGCCTCTGGTAGCAATAAAAGTTGTCCTTAACCTTGGTTATCTGTGACTTTTTTCTGCTTGCTCAGGCACTGCTATTCAGCTAAGGAAAACAAAAATAAGGGAAACTCCGTGTGTGTGAGTATAGCCCGGGGTTGGCCTCACAGACCCAAAATGAAACAAATGGTAGCTATTTCGATATGTTAGAGAGCTAGGGATAAAATTGAGTCCAGGGTCAGAATATTTCATTTGTAGTCCAATACCTGCAAGCTGAACAGATTTTAGAGGACAGTAGGACTTTTTCTTGCTTGATGTTCAGGTTTTCTAGGATTAAGAACTGCTGGCAATTGATTTGGAACACAGCACTATGTATAGGGGACATTGAGTCAGGTGGAATAAATGGCTGCTGGCTCTCTTGCCTCACAGCTGATTTAACCCCAGCCCCAGTTCAGTGATTGTACTTGGAGAGCCCAGAGCATCTGTTCAACTACACCTTCCCTTCTTTACAATCTACTTACTGTAGGCTCTTTGGAGAACTTTGGCTTGAGAGAGAAGCAGCACAGTACTCTTGAGTAGTGTGGAACATCCATTAACAGCGCTGCTACTGTTAAATTTGTTCTTGTACCTGAAACTATTCTTAGCCTGTCCCATGTTACTTAGCATTGCATCACAAACTCTTCCAAGATCTGGAAAACTGAAGCTTTATGAATCACAATTTTCTGGTTAAAAAATCCTATTACTCCGGGAAGCCTCTGGAAAGGTAAAGTTATCCTCAAATCTTCCAACAGAAAAAGTCAAAGAATGTGCCCTGGTCCCAGAGATTAGATTAGGAGATGCTAAATACCCCATTCTCCAAAAGATTGATGTTTCCTCTGCAGGCAGAGGACTGTCTTATATCAGTGTAGTATTATTAGTCATTATATTAGAGGGAGAAGGCAGAGCTGGGAACGAGCAGTGCTTCCAAGTGCCGCGGCTCACTTGGCTAATCCTCCGCCTGTGGCGTCAGCACCCTGGGTTCTCTAGTCCCGGTTGGGTCGCCGGTCCTGTCCCGGCTGCTCCTCTTCCAGTCCAGCTCTGCTGTAGCCCGGGAAAGCAGTGGAGGATGGCCCAAGTGCTTGGGCCCTGCACCCACATGGGAGACCAGGAGGAAGCACCTGGCTCCTGGCTTCAGATTGGCGCAGCACGCCAGCCCAGCAGCCACTTGGGGGGTGAACCAACGGAAAAAGACCTAACTGTCAAAAAATAAAAAAAAAATTAAAAAAGAACTTGTTCCTAAGAGCGCCTTTGAGTCTGAAGGAAGCTGGAGGGTAGCTCTTTATTCTGCCAAGCTGATGAGAATCAGAGCCTACATTCACACTGTTGAGAAAATTAAGACATTGTTGTCTGTCCTCCCAAGTCCGTTTCTCTTCTATGGTAGAACCAACCACCTCTATGTATGCATCCTCTATGGTAGAACCAACCACCTCTATGTATGCATCCTGTGTACACATCACATACCTGGATTTTCCAGGTTGCCCAACGTAATCATTCTGGAGTTCCTGAAGCAAGAAGGCAAGTGGTGCTTGAGCATTACTGCCCAAAGCAGTCTTGCTAGATACTCAGCCAACACGAAGGGGAGCTGGTTTTCCCTTAGTGTGTACATTTTCAACCTGAAAAGGAAGGCCCTGTGCCAAATAAGCATCCTCAAGTTTATATTAGCCTGTGTTAATTGCGTAATTCATTGTAGCTAAGAATTCTTAACCAAAGTTCAACTTCTAAGTCCTCTCAAACTTAGCCTTTATATTTCACATCATGGAAGTTTTGTCTAATGTGCAATTTCTAAAGCCTCAAATTCTTTGAGATTAGCCTTTAGGTTATGTTATTAAGGCAGGAGCTTTGGCCACTAGGTGGTGCTTCTAGAAAAAGAAAAGAGGATCTTTAAATTTCTGGGAGACACTGAATCCCTTGTGGTTAGTATATGGTAACAGGCCTTCCTGAGCCAGTACATGAACATTTGCAGTTTAAGTGGCCATCACTTAAGGTACAAGAGACTTACACTAGAATAAGAAGCAAATGATGAGGCTGGCACTGTGGCATAGCAGGTAATGCAGTGCCAGCATCCCATGTGGGCACCAGTTCACGTTCTGGCTGCTCCACTTCCGATTCAGCGCTCTGCTATGGCTGGGAAAACTAGAAGATAGCCCAAGGACCCTGCACCCTCATGGGAGACCCAGAAGAAGCTCCTGGCTCCTAGCTCTGGATCGGTGCAGCTCTGGCCATTGCAGCCAATTGGGGAGTGAACCAGGGATGGAAGACCTCTTTCTCACCCTTTCAAATAAATTAAATCTTCTTTTTAAAAAGATTTTATTTGACAGAGTTACAGGCAGTGAGACAGACAGAAAAGTCTTCCTTCCGATGGCTCACTCTCCAAATGGCCGCGACAGCCGGAGCTGTGCCAATCCAAAGGCAAGAGCCAGGTGCTTCTTCCTGGTCTCCCATGTGGGTGCAGGAACCCAAGCACTTGGGCCATCCTCCACTGCTATCCCAGGCCACAGCAGAGAGCTGGACTGGAAGAGGAGCAACTGGGAGTAGAACCTGGTGCCCATATGGGATGCTGGCACCACAGGCAGAGGATTAACCTAGCGCACCATGGTGCAGGACCCAATAAATTAAATCTTAAAAAAAAAAAAAAAAAGCAAATGATGGTTGGACATTAAGTTTCAGCTCAAAACAGAACCAGTTTTCCACTTTTTTGTCCTAGAGTTGTGTACGGACCCAACCTAGAAATACCCAAGTCCTTAGCCCTTGCTTTTAGTTGGAGTTGACCATTCATTAGAACAGAAGTGCTTGATAAGAATTACTCTTTACTTGAAAAGGCATAAGTCACCAAGAGTGTCTTATTAGAAATTTGAGAAGAGCTCATGACTCTAAGTTCCCAGGAGCACCTAAGTTCAGGATGAAGAGAGAACCTCTTTCTTCCCCTTGGCTTAATATATAACATCATAGCAAATCCCATGCCCGACGGCAGACCTTACTGTGTGCACACAGGCAGTAGTAGAATTTGGAGTAATCCTAGACCCAGGGAGCTGGTTTCTCATTCCTTGAAAACATGTTCAGGGCAACCTTAGGCTAGCAACCACTGAAATGTGACTGCTGGTGAATGGGACAGTTAGCTTGCAGGATAGGATGTCTTTTCAAGAAGTTAATGTAGAAAGTGCTTACCTTTTCCTTTACTCCAGAAATTTGCTATGCTTTTAAGACAAAGTGCAATTCACAGTGCATGGTAGGCCTGGTGTAGTACACAGTGAAATGCTTGGAGAGGAGGAGGGAAGTGTATGTACATAACGTGAATGTTTAAAAAAGAAGCTTGAACTGCAACTCTGAAACCGTACCGAGAATGAATGGGGTAAGCCCAGCTCCATGGATATTCTGCTTTCCCCATACACACTCACTCGTTCTTTGTGGTTCATGGGCCACCACATAGCTTCTACCTCCCCTAATCTAGGTCCCATAATTTTGAAAGTGGTTCCACAGTGGACTGAAAGTAAGTGATGTGAGCTAGATACTAAATCTTTTGAACCTCACATAATGTTCCACGGACAACATCTTTGTACAGAGCTATTGGAATAGCAGGGTTGGCAAGGGCAGTGAAGGGATAGCTAGACTTACACATGAACACATTTGATCCTTTTGTCAGCCCTGGGCATGCCAGTTGCTGGCTAGAGATTGATCTGAAAGCCAGATGGAATGAGTCACAAGGACTATGTAGCATAGTCTTCAGAATTCAAGCACAGGGATCTTTAAAGTGAGCCACACTGCCATTGCTGTGCCTCTCCAGGGTGGAAAGATGGTAAGACATTTGCAAAATAGGTGATCTAAATACCTACATGGTGAAAATTATGCACTTAGCTTTTCAGATCTCCAGAACTGTTCGCCCATGATCTGGGACAAAATTAAAATAAGGAAGAAGCAAAGTTTCACTTGGTCAGTACTGCCCAGGGTGGGCTGGGGAGTTGGTCAGACTTACTGGGATGAGGAATTGTTTTATCTGCCCTAGCCCAGCACATCCTGAGTCAGAGGGGCAGCTCTCCCTTAAAGGCCGGCTGTGTATCTACAGCCCATCTAGACTACACTTGGGTAAGCAGGCAGTGCATCTGAAATCACGCAGTATCTTTTAAAGATAAAAAGGCCTAAAGGCCTAAAGGCCTGCTGCAGGTGGAAATAGGTACCAGTGGCCCTTTTCTCCCTGCGTTGCTTTTCCACGTTCTAGTTCAAGATAAGCCAGTCATTTTTATCATTGCTGATAATTATCCTTGGATGGCTTCACATCCTTTGGTAGGTCAGCCAGGAGAACTTGAGAAGCCGTCCGTTATCAGCACTGGAGAAAGGACACCGCCCGAGGGACAATGCCAGCTCGATGGCAGTCATCTCAGGCGAGCCGGGCGAGGCGCTCAGCCTCGTGGGACAGGCCCAGCTTTTCCTAGGTAACCGGACAGAGGCCAACCTACCTTACAACCTCTTAGGACCACTCTGTTCCTCACCCTCCCCTGTCAAGATGAGGATGCTTATACTTCTAACCAGGGGGCCAAAATGGGAACATGTACAAAGACTACACATTTCTGTATGTTCAAAAAGATGCTAATTTGATTTTTATACATTGCTTAAAAACATACCTTTACAACCTGATGTAGAATGTTTTTAAAATGAGAGGATAAAGCTGGTATTAAAATATTAAGAGCTTAAGAGTAACATCAATTGTACTTAACGATTACAGTGGTCTCACAATAGGAAATACATATTTAACCTACAAACTGACAATATGCCATGCTCCCCCTCCCCTACCCACCCACCCACCGGTCACATCACTAGCAGATTCCTGTCCTTACGGATTGGGTAGGCTGCAGGGGATGGTTCTCGACTCATGTTTTGATCACTAATAGCACAGGTGAATCCCACTTTACTTGTATTTAGTAACAGTTTCTGTCTAAGAAAGCTGTTGGCCAGCATGTCATCCAATTGCTCCAAGTAGCCTCTTTCTAGGAATCAGATGATTCAAGAGGCAGGGGCTGTGGCTTCATCATCTCACTGCCCGACAGGGGCATGTGGTGCCTTTCTTCTCCAGAGGGGGACCCTCCTGGGGATCGAGACCAAATGCAATACATAGTATTTTCATGATCTGCCTTCCATGGGGCTGAAGAATGAAGATGGGAATATGCAAAGCCATAGACAAACAATGGAAGGTAACTCAAAATGCATGTCCATGCTGCACAGTAGTTAGCAATTTGAAAACTGTCCCTTGAGTATAGAAACTTCCTGAGAGGTGAAGACTAATCTAGTAGTCAGCTGTGCCAGTAGCGTGAGCCATGCCAGGCGCACAGCGCACACGTGTTGGGACGTGAGTGGTTTTAAGGGATTCGGCGGTTTGATTCACAGCAAGTATTTTTTACAGATGTTGTGGGCGAAGCCACCTGGGTGACTGGGAAGACCGTGTGAATCAGACCATTGTGCAGCAAATAGTGCTGTTCTCTGGGAGAGGATATGTACTTGCTTGCGCTTCATTTCCCGTGGCTCAGGACTTGTGGGTCCCGGTCAAGAACTGCGGACACAATGGAAAGCAGAGCTTCACAACAAATACAAAGGCAGGGCTGGGCCAGAAAGTTATTTTCAGGAATCTTTAAATATAAACTGCACCAGGAGGCAGAAACGTCATCCACCCAGCACTAGTACGTTTTAACATGATGAAGACTTGTAGGTTAAAACCCTAGCAACAAAGGTTTTCTTTTTTAAGTTGGGTCCAAGACGAGGAACACATATTGAACAAAATTTTGTGACTTCAACTTCATTTAAATTTCCCCTTGAAATGAACTTCAAACTGGCGTAATTTTGATACCAGAAGTCAGTTTGAACAACCAATACAAAAAAAGAACTGACTAAACTGGACATTGTCCCCCCACCCCCCTCAAACAGAATCCCAAACCCAAAACAACTTATATAAGGGATGCAGATAACAGAAAAAAGTCAAATAAAATAACAATGGTTCCTGAATTGAAAGGAGGGATGCCCAGTTCTCTGTCAAGAGGCAGCTGGTCAGCTGAAAAATAAAAACATTATATCAATAGGACACGCCAAAGAAAAATCCACTAGCTCTCTGTTCATGCAGTAACTAAAATCCCAAACACCAGAACAACCCACAAAAGTGACCAAAGGAAGGAAGAAGTGGCCCCGATCTTTTGACCTGCTGAAGGCTGAGGATCCTGGTGGGGCTGTTCGGATTGTTGTTCACGGGACAGAGAGGTCAGGAGTTACGAGATCAAGGTCGTGGGCCCCAGAGCTGGCGGCCCCTCGCCTCAGACCTGCTGTCTTCAGTCCACACGTTCTTGGATCAGCAGCTTCAAGGACATGACAGCTAAGCGAGAGGATCCTAGCGCAAGACCTTGGGGCTTGGCCCAAGTTCTCTGCTTCATTCAGTTTCCTCTGAATATGGTTACGTATTACTGTCTCGGGGAGTGACAAGTCACTTCAGGGTCCACTATGGGCAGTGGTTTGTAAACAGACATTGACAGACACAAACAGCGGTGCGATGTTTGACCCAGACTTTAAAAGAATAGGAGGCGATGGTGGCAATGAGGTAACTCTTCCCCAACACGTGTCAACAGACAGCTCCTGCTCTTCTAAGGCTCTATGTCCATTAGGAGAGAGTGGGGCTTGTCAACGGGATGATTACATAAAGAAGAAGCTACAGAAGAGAAAACAGAAAGGTTGATTCAAAAGGTGGCCCTTAAAGGCTTCCAAAGAAACAAAAGGAGCGTCTCTACAACAAGCTGCGAAAGGGACAGCGCTGTGCAGGGAGTGACTCCACCTAGCGCGCGCGGCCGGAGGGGGGAGACGCACGGCAGCACTGTGACCGCGGGTGGGACGCGGGACGCCGCCTCTGCGGCCCCCAAGGCTTGCAAATCGGCAGGGCGGCCGGGGACAGGAGTGGCGGGGAGGTGGCAGGCACGGTATGTGAGTACGGACACCAGGCAGCCAGTGTATCTTGGAGGAGTTGGTGCCACTCGATGGCAGCATGTGAAGCCCAGCACCCAAGGAGCGAAAGCGTGCGTTTCTATCACTCCCATTTCCTTTACGCCCAACATAACAAGCACGTGCACACACGCATGACCGAGCAGTGACTGAGAAGAACTCACAAAAGGGCACACAGAACGATGTTTGGGTAAAAATATATTTTCCCCTGCTTTATGTCTTGGCACGAGTGATAAATGCATAGATTGCCAGTCCACACTCTCCTACCATAACAGACACCAGATTACTGAACACGTCGCTAAGTGATCACGTTCATACTTGAAAAACGATATGCTTCACATCGATACAAGTATTTTAGTTTCTTAAAAAAAGACAAGTGTCTACCATGCGGCTTACATACATGACAATTCTGTATTAACACTGAAAGTAGGTTACACAACAGTTTTAGAAAACACACTGGTTATTTTTCAAACAGAAAAATGACAAGAATCTACAAACTACAGTTTAAGGCATATCAGCATATTTTTAAGAGAAAGAGACAAAGTTCTAATGCTGTTCACAGCTTAATTTTCAATTTATTTTTGAAAATTCCCTTCATACCGACCAACAAACAAGACCTTGGAGGTCATAATTCCCACTAGAGAGTCCTCAAATCCATGTCCTGTCACCAGAACCAGGACTTCTGGAAGCTGATAGAATTCCAGACACTCACAATGGCAAAGCAAAGGGATGGGAACGGACTCTGGGTAGGGACCACACGGAGATGGGGACGTGACTCGGGAGCAACCAAAAACCCCACGTTGACAGTCAGCTGGTTTATGAAACACTTGCGGGAGAGGTCAGCCAAGTGAGGGAACCATGGCTTTGCACTTGAGGGGCACGGGATATGGAGACCACGTGTGACCGCTGGTGAGTTACGAAACAGAGGAAGAAAACGAGGAGCCTGTGCCCACTGGCTCCTTTCCCTGGCTGAGAATCCATTTTGGACAAAACCTTGACCAATTAAAATAGAGCCTAAGCTGGGAAAACAGTGTCTGAATTGCCAAAAATTCCCCCACCATATCCTACAGCCTGCACAACCGTTAGGTGCAGCTAACATCCAGAAGAAGCAAAAAGATGGGGAGAGCTGGGGGTGGGGAAGTCAGATCAAAACGTAAAAAATACAAGCACTGGGGCAGTTAGCATGAGGGAGACACCCTGAATTAAAAAAAATAAAGTCGGTGGTCAGAAAGGTAGCCTGGCTGAAAGCTGTCCCTCCCTGTTGATTTTCCAGCGTGGAAGGTGGCATTTTCTCACTCAAGCTTTATTTTCATTGACAGAATCAAGGACTCCATATACCCAAGGACGTCCATGATGCTGTGCTGAACACAGGCTGGGGTTAGCAATTTCTAACTTCCACATTGAAACCCAGAAGTTGTTGTGGAAAAAAAATACATACATATGTATAAATTTGGCCATTTTAAATATATTGGTTTTTTTATTAAACAAAAGCTGTTGACATCATTACCCACCCCCGCCAAAAGAAAGAAAAAGAATCCACCCACCCCATCTGTTGTCCCTAATTTTAAAAAGATCTCAAAAGTTTCTTTCTACTGTACTTACATGCAAAGGCGAAAGCACATCCAATTAGATTTGAGGGTATCATTTATTCCGTGCAGAGCCAAGGACTACTGTGAAAAAAGGCATAGACACAGAAAGAAAAAAGAGCAGCAGTAACAAACTAAACAGGCCTGGGGGCAGTGGTAGAAAAAGTTGAGAAGCAACACATTAAAAAAAAAAAAAAAAAAAAAAAAAGATGGCTTCTAGGTTTCTGTTGCCTTCCTATTCCCTGCCTCTCCATGTGATATTTTCCTGTGAAAAATTTAATGCCAAAAAATAAGAAATAAAAAATAAAAAAACCCATCCAATCCAATCAATAATCTTGGAATCAAAAAGTCAACTGCGTGCCTTTCATTGTTAGGTTCATTTTAGTGATGCAAGACGCGGGATTTTTCAAGGTGGATGTTCTGTCACAAGGCACAAAAAATGCTCAAACAAGCAGGGGTTGGAACAAGCAAACCACAGACATTCAGGCTTTTGTTTGAGGCGCGGCACATGAGCAGATGCAGCCATGGTTAGAGTCAGCATGCTGTCTAGTGCTTGGCTGCTCCACGCTAGCTCCAGTCCACGGCTAGTAAAACAAAGCAAAAACAGAAGAAGCGCAAACAAATCCACTGGTCCAGTTGCTGCCGAACCCGTAAAAACAGCTGCTGCTTCGAGTTCGCAGGTTCCCAGCTTAGCTCGGGCTGCGATGAAACGGATTTCCTTACTTTGCCTAATTAAGCCTACATCCCTTCATGGGAGACTGTTCCTTCAATCCTTTACCTGCAGCTCAGGATGAAAGAAAGGGGAACCTCTCCTTGTTGGAATTCAATAGAGACAAAGTTTTTAAAACATGTGCAAGGCAGGGGAGGTGCAGCATCCTCTATTTACTGAGCGGCTAAGGAAGGCCGACAGGAAAACGGAGAGCTCAAGTATTGGGTTCATGAGAAATGGTACCTCCCATGTGAGAAACAGGAGAGCGAGAGTGAGAGAAAGCTGGGGCATCTTGTGAGTAGGGGTCGGGGGAGGGGGGTTTGAAGCCAATGAAAGGCTAACCATCAGGGAGGACTAGCAGAAACCAGATGAACCATGTGCTTTCCCATACAGACCAGGGATACAGTCCCCGACCTGGCATATGGCTTCTGTCCTGACCCTCAATGAGGCCACAAGGAGCAGGTGCAGCCAGGTGTGCGCAGGGCCCAGGTGAGGCAAACACGTTCGGGACAACTGGACTGGAAAGCCCAGCTGCTCTGTTCCGTCTGCCTTTACCACCACATGTGGAAAGGAACCTAAGCGAGTTGGATGTGAGGCTGGGGGCCGCTGGCTGGGCTCGCACGCTGGGCTGCGTTCCTCCCCACCTCCTGCTTCCAAGCGCACACGTGCGCTGCGCCCTGCACAGCAAGTGTGCCATCGGCACAACCTGCGGGCGTTCTCTAGCCACGATTAGGGACAAGGTGCGCCAGAATGACCCCTCTTCCGGAGCCGTGCACCAAGTCCTCCCCTGCAGCCTGCAGAGAGCGCACAGGTGTATTCGGGAAAGAGTCCTCAATGTCAGGAAGTGGTAAGGAGGCGGTGGAAAACCCATAACCGTGGCAGAAGGCTCCTGTGCTAAGCGAGGCCACCGGCACACCTGGTGAACATCGCTACCTGGTGCTGGCTCCAGTCCACTCCAGCCAGGCTGGGCTCTGGGAGGAGGGTGTGCAGACGCAGTCTCGAACCGCTCTGTCTGAACACATGCCCCCAAGTTCGGGACGCAGAACGTTAGAGCTGAAGGTGAACTCACACCAGCGACAAGTCCTAGGGGAAGCAGGCGCCCCGCTCTGCCTACCTACTCGTCTGCCTCGGCTTGGGCGGGGGGGGACGGGGTGCGGAGGAGAGACCGTGGGTGCTGGGTCTGTGCGGTCGCGGAGGTGGGGAAGGGAGGATATGCAAGTTCTCATGGCTACCCAGGGCTTTAGCTCAGCGGCTGAGGCGGTGAGAAGTCTCCATGTCAGTCGTGCAGGCAGCCTCTGACCCCGCGGTCCTTGATCCAAAGCGACACACAAGGAACAGGCATGCTTCCTGCTGCCATTCGGAAGGCGCACAAAAAACCAATCGCGTACTGTCCAGATGCACAGGGCTCTCGCTGTCATTCACTTGTTCTGTCATTCCCAACACCCGACAAAACAGTCAGCAAAATGAGTTAAGAGTTACTGGTGTTTGGGGAAGGGTAAAACAAAAACAAAAAATAAAATAAAATAAAACCAAAGGACACAGACGGCAGAGATACACTATTACTGCCAAAGCAGGTGAATGCGGAACGTCCTTGGCTTGCCAGGCTTTATGTGAAGCTTGCACTGCAAGTTAAAAAACAAAACAAAAAAGTTAGAAATGATAATAAATAAAAAAAGAAAGGAAAATTAGGAGCGCCAGCACCAGCACCAGCACCAGCACCCGGCGGCGGCGAACGCTCATGCAATGATTACGGGGCCGACAGAAACTGAAACCAAACATTCGAGTAGGCTACTCTACAAGACAAGCAGAAGCAGCCTGTGACACGGAGTCGGAGAGCACACGGTTAGTCTCCACCTGCACGGAACTCAGGCGTCACGAGTGACTTCTTGACACCGCTGCGTGTTCTAGTGGGAAGATGGACTGTTTGGCTTTTTTGTTTACTCAAGTAACACAGAACTATGACCCCTCAGGTTTGGGCACCGTGTGAGTTTCATCTTGCACTCTGGAGCTGCTGAAGGAGTCAGAGAACAAACATCCAATGAACGCCTTGGAACGAATGACAGAAAGGTCTGAAGGAGCGCGGGGGGACCGGGATACAGCGGGTGGAAGACATGCTATTAATCCAGGCCAAGTGTACATGGTCACAGCTACAGTGATGCCAGGAGCTTGCAGCGCCAAACCCAAGAGCCATGTGGCTAAGGCAAGTTCAACACGTGCAACTTTATATTCCCCAGCAAGAACTTAAAAATCAGAAAGATGAACGGGTGGTTTCAAACTGTGGTTATTAGATATTGCGATGGATTTGACCGTTTTCTCTTGGGAGAGATGCATGTTGACCAGCAAACGCCTGCAGGCCATCGTGCGAATGGTTTCCTGAAGATGAACAACGTCCACCCAGCAACTTACCCCCAGGCCGTCCCGCCACTGCGGTGGAGCCGCAAACAAGAAAGTGACTTGGTGGCCAGGGACGGCCGCAGGTGGGGCCCAGCTAATGGCAAGGGCAGGGTTAGTTCTAGAGTGTCTGCAATCCTAGGAGATGTTAGACAGGCTCATGCCACTACAGGCCAGGGAGAAGGATCGAGCCTTACCTACATTTTAAACAAAAAGGAGCATGTCAATAGAATAGGGAAAAACAGGATTTCAAGCTATTAGGAGAAAGAAGTCGAGCTCTGAAGTAGACACAGAGCGGGTTAATAAAGAAGCATCACTGTGTAAATGTTCTACCTAGGACAAAGCCAGCTCCTGAGCGGCACGTGTGCCAACTCCTGTGCCCACACAGGGCTGCCCGGGCTGCCCAGGTGACTCCTTGTGGTCCTCTCTGACCGTCACCCTCCAATGCCATGGGCAGGAAGAGGTGTGGGGTTTAAAAAATAATGTTTTCCCCTCCACTTCAGGCCTCAAACTGGCAGTTGCTTTCACTGTACACGTGGGCCAACGCTGGGGTTGGGGGGAAGGGTCAGTGCCTAGAGGGAGTGACACGCTAAGACAGCTGTCATCATCCGGAGCAGATGCAGATGCCGCTGGTGAGCCGGAGTCAGACGAACGCCGTTCATGAGTGAGGACGCACAAATAAGGCTAAACTAGAACTCGCACGGACGTCACATTCACTTCCAGCGCACGATGCACTGGCAAGGCCCCAGCATGAGGACAGAATACCTGACGTGTTCAGAAGGGCAAGGCCGAAAACCCGCCCGCCGCTGGGGAGCTGGTGACCGAACAGGCAAAGTCCCCCTTGGAAGCCGTACTGCTTAAAGGCACATCCAGGACGCGCGCGCGTCTCTCGACATTGCTGGTCTCTCATGAACAAAAACCTTGTACCTTGGTGCACTTCAGTGCTTCGGGTTAAAGAAACTTGACTTTGGGTTCCCTAAGCTGTGAGTCCGCAGCTTTGCCTGTTTCGTTCACGTCTGCGGACACCTGTGTGTACGCACACTCGTGCTCACACCCCGATTTTTATCTTGGCACAGCCCGGATGCCCGAGGGTATGGTGGCAGACGGCTGGAAGACTCCCTGGCACTCCGACCATCTCCTGAGTGTCTCCTTAGCCAGACACTCTCCCACCACACACAGCTACAAAGGGTTTTCTTGAACTGGATCAGAATCCAGGCAACTGTGCCTCTCTGAATTAGTCCACAGTCACTCAGTTCTGGGCCCTTGGACTCCCTGTGTCTGCGCCAGCCTCATCTAGCCCAACTGCTGCTGTGCTCTCTGCACCCCCAGAGCCTGCACGGTCCGCGCGAGGCCAGGCCCTGCACTGTGCATTTCTCTCCTGACCGCAGGCACCGTCACGGGGCTCCTTGGAAGGGAGCCTTGTGCGTTGTCAGCCAGGACTACTGGGCAGCAGCGCCAAGCTCAGGGACGCCTCTGTCACTGTGCAGATCCCACTCCCATGCACTCTGTGCCTGAACACAGCAGTGCCCTGCCTGCTCAGGTGCCAGTACTGCTTTGTGTCCTTAGTTGCTGGCTTCCCCCCGGAACCGGGCCATCTAAGGATGAAGAGTGAGAATCGGGACAAGCTGTGGGTCGCTCTGGCCACCCAGAGAGCAGCACACGTTAAATAGACCAGGGAGGGAGGTGTCCCTGGATTTGTCACTGGGCCACCACAGTGGGACACCCCCTAAAATGCCCTCACCAATAGCAACTGTCAGAGATAGCTGCACTCCCTTCTTCAAACGGATCCAGAGGAGAGCTCCGACCCACAGGAGAATTTTAAGGAGGCCCGACTCTCCGGCTGGATGCAGGCAGCTGCTACTGGAATGTCTGAGGATGGGACTGACTCGGCAGCAGCCTGGGACCCTTTGGCACGTTAAGTCAAGGTCACAATGGAAAATGTTCTGTGGGCGATTCTAGTTAGGACTGGAGGGCTGCCAGGGGTGTCTTCGCTGGATGCATAGTTCCACTCCACTGCACGATAAAACAATTCATCATGCTGTTGAATTTAGAGGAAACCTAGTGGCCACTGGCAGCGCTTCCAAGCAGGTCCTTTTGGGAACAGACTGGCAATGACTGGCTCACCAAGGCTTACGACACAGAGTAGGAAGAGAACTTTACAATCGTTATTCTAGGATGTGCCTTATCAAAAGTCACGAGAATCGTCTCCCGTGGGTTCTGCAGAGAAAGAAACCTGTCTTCTCCAGGAATCCTAGTGTTTGGTGCAGAAGCTGCTACGGGAGACGGCAGGTCACTCCAGTCCTGATTGCTTGCTCAGCGTGCCCAGGTTGGGTAAATTAATCTCTGTGTACCCTTTAAAAATACTTTAAAAACCTTTTAGCATCTGCCCTGCACGGTAGAGAAAATATGTGCTCTGTGTTTCTGGTAACAGACCCAGTTCCCAGTCCATAAACGGGCAAAGAGGCGGCATGCAAGGGGAATGAACGGTTAGAGGTGCCCAGCACACGGCGACGGCCCCGCTTACTTTTTCTTATCCTTGTCCTTCTTGGTCTGCTGGGCCCCCGATTGCTGGGCCTGGGACTGCAGGAGCTGAGCGGCCGCCTTCTTCTTCTGGAAGGCGCTCACCTCCTCCTCCAGCTCCTTCTTCTTGTCTTCCACCTTCTTCTTCTCTTCTTGGTGTGTCCGCTTTAGCAGGTCGAACTTCTCGTGCAGCTGGGGAGAAAGAGACCAGGGCACGGTTGGCGACGGCAGGGAGCAGCTGGCCGGGCCAGGCTATCTGGATCTGCGATTCGATCACACGAGGGACGCAGCGCCATCTGTGTGACTCACGGTGGGAACACAGGAAGGAAGGCAGGACAGGGGGAGGGATTCTTATTAGATAATGCTAGATTTGTATACAACAACCACTTGGCTCTTAAAACCAACAGCAAGGGACCGGCGCTGCGGCATAGTGGGTAAAGCCGTCACCTGTAGTGCCGGCATCCCATAGGGGCGCTGGTTTGAGTTCTGGCTGCTCCTCTTCCGATCCAGCTCTCTGCTATATCCTGGGAAGGCAGTGGAATATAGTCCAAGTCCTTGGGCCCGTGCACCCACACAGGAGACCCAGAAGAAGCTCCTGGTTCCTGGCTTCGGATTGGTGCAGCTCCGGCCAATGCTAACATCTGGGGAGTGAACCAGCGAATGGAAGACCTCCCTTTCTCTGCCTCTGCCTCTCTATAACTCTGCTTTCAAATAAATAAATAAATCTTTAAAAAAAAAAAAAAAGCAAATAAGGATCAATTTTCCTTTCTTGGCAGCTAAACACATTTTGTCTACTGAGTTATTGAAATAACCTGTAAGTTTCAGTCGTCTTAGAGATAAATTAAAACAAGCTATTGAGTACAGGCCAAGCACTTGAGACATGCATCATTTCCCAGGAGTCATGTTATCCTCTCTCTCTCTCTCATTCTCTCTCTCTCTCAATGACAGTGTGATGGGTGCTACACTATATAAATCTGCGTACGTTGTAAGGAAGTTTGGCCTGGGGCTGGGAACCAAGGTGGGGACAGAGGGTTCCTGGAAAGGGGGCGCCTGCCCAGCAAATCCGGAAGCAGGGCCACAGGCACATCAGACCATCGTCCCCCAGAGGCCGTCATGGTGGGGCCCCTCCACTGTTGGGCTCACTTGTTTGGTTGATAGATGAAGATGATAGCCTCAAATACTACCTCTCACCTTTCGAGACTGGTAAACTGAGGAAATGCGGAGCTACAAAGACCACGTGCTCAGGTCTGGAGATGGAAGATCTAGTTTCAGTCTCGGTTTTCACTTAACACGCCTGACTGTGCCACCTGCAAGATGGGGCCAAGCCTTTCAACCCACTCTGCTACTCATGATAAAGCGTATGGAGCAAGGAGCAAGTACTTGGACCACCAGGCGTCCCATACAAGTGAAATACGAATAAAACGCCTCTCTGAGGCCCAGCCCTTGAGAGGCCCACGACCTACCTCCTTCTCCGCCTCTTTAAGCTCTGCTTCTTTCTCCTTCACTCTCATCACAAACATCTGTCTCATTTCTTCTTCCTTCTTCTGCAGTTCGCCCAGGAATTCATTCCTCTTCGCTTCGTATGTCTCCTGGAGACTGAAAAATCCACAAACCAAGCACACGCTCCAGAAATGGCATGATAAGCAGTTTTGGCTCACAGAACGTTTAGCTGTCTACTTCCCAAAAGTAGGCAAGGCTGCTACTTAGCATAGTAAGGGACAAACCAAAGGACACTGGTTTGTTTTTACTTATGCTGTGAGGGGAAAGACAAGTGCAACCTTGGACTTAACCAACCATGGATCCAAAGTATTGGGGGGGGGGGGACTGGATCTGTACTGAAACAGACACAGGCTTTTTCTTCCTTGTCATCATTCCCTTACATACAGTACCGTAACTGTTCACTGCACGAGGTGTTGTAAGTTATCTCGAGAGAATTTCGAGCGTACAGGATACGAGTAGGTTCAGTGTATGGAAGGGGCATGAGCATGTATGGGCTTTCGTACCCATGGGGGTCCTGGAACCAATCCCCCAAGGACACTGAGGCACAGCTCTGCTTGCACATGACTGAGAACACACTCAGCACACGGGGAATCGGAGTCCCAAGCAGACATTTGCACACCCCCGTGCTGTTTCCAACCACTGGACCGCTGTTCAGAAGGAACCGGCTCTAGGTTATCACACACAGACACCTGCAGTGGCGACAGCTTTTGCATTTTGAGCCTTCAAACTTAATTTTTCGTTGCAATTATTAACACCTTGGCAGGTGTCCCACCAGATGGGGCTGATTAGAAACCGCGGGTTTTATCTTCTGCTTTTCTCCTAGCAGCCCCCGGCGGAGGCATGTTTTGCTAGTGGAAGGCAGAGGGGGATCCACATACACACTTAGTTCACTCTTCTTCCTGGAAACACACCAGCATGGTTCCCGCCCAGATGCAATCTCCTGGAACCACGTCGTGGATGGAGCGCAGGCAGCGCACAGTGATCACCCCCAGGGTCTCTGGAGCACCTTACACGCGTGAATTTGTTTAATCCTTGCAACAACCCAAAAGGCAGGCATCTACCACCTTTCATTTTACCGATGGAGAAACAAACACGGGGCATTCGGTCATCTGTCCAGGTTACAACACAAAGAAGCGACAGGGCCAGGACTGGACCCAGGCAGCTGCCTTGTTCAGACAGGAGCCTTGGCCCCGGCACTGCCCGGCTGGAGACCCAGGGCCTACCCTGCTGAAACCCACTGTGTCTCGCGGGCCGGGGCCGTGTCATCCTGTGATGAGGAAGGTGGCGCCTCTGCAATGAGGGGGGAGCCGGTAGGGCAGGCCTCCTGTGATTAGGGCAGTGGGGGTCCCAGGAGGAAAGCGGCAGGCAGCGGCTCAAGGGAGACGGGATCAGTGCCCATTCACGTCCGATGTCCCCTCTCCACTTCTGCCCCCAAAAAACACCAGCCAGGAAGGGGCTGGGGCCCGAGGGAAGGGGGGAACTTGGTCCAGGGAAGGCTTGGGTGCTCTGGGGGTGGCAGTGGGTTCCAAGGCTGCAGGGCAGCAGGTGAGCATGAGCAGGTGGGGACGGAATGATGGGCACGGGAAGGAGCTGGTGGGGACGGAATGATGGGCACGGGAAGGAGCTGGTGGCCACCTGGACCTGCAGGGGTTCCGCCAGAAGACTCTGAATTCAGGCCAGTTTAAGGCCAACACCAGAGCCAGGCTCCAGGGCTTTAGTGCTAGGATCGGCTTCCAGGGCTTACATGCAGCCTGCACTGTGCACACCTGCTCCTCCGTCTCGCTCCCACTGGGGACTACACCCAGGTGCCAGCTGCTGCTACAAACAGGGCCCGGAGGGCAGGGGCAGACACAGGGTGCTGAAGGGAAGAATTAACTTTCCATGCAGGAATCTGCTACTTGAGAATATAAAAACTTTCACAGGGCCAGTGCTGTGGCACAGTGGGTAAAGTCACTGCCTGCAGGGCCGGCATCCCAAACGGGTGCGGTTCAAATCCCGGGTGCTCCATTTCAGATCCAGCTCTCTGCTACTGCGCCTGGGAAAGCAGCGGAAGATGGCACAAGCACTTCTGCCCCCACATCACGTGGGAGATATGCATGAAGCTCCTGGCTCTGGTCTGGCCCAGCCCTGGCTGTTGCAGCCTTTTGAGGAGTGAAGCAGCAGATGGAGGCGCTCTCTCTCTCTCTCTCTCTCTAACCCCACCATTCAAATAAATAGATAAATCTTTTAAAAAACAAAACACCTTCTGCCCTCTGTTTATAGTCCTCCAAAAAAGCTTCATGGAGCACCCAGCAATGGTGACTTTGAACATGAAACCGGGCATCAGTGACGTCAGCGGTGGCTCCTGCTGTCCCTTTGCGGCCAGCCTTCCTGCAGGGCCACCTCGCTGCCAACTCCGGGTGCTCTCAGGTGCACAGAAGTGCTGGGGAGCCACAAAGCAGCAGCTTAATAGCTGCTCTGAGCCCCGCACATCCCACATCACCGCCAGGCCCACCTCCCCACTGAGTAGTTGCTTGCACCCAGTCAGGAGGATCCTCTCCTGGGCGCATAAGCATGACCTAGCCGGGCAGCACTGCCCACACCTGCTGTGGGCCACAGCACCCCACGCCCAAGCCCCTGTGCCCACCTCTGGGCTCTGAAGAGACGGGGTACTAACTGGACATTCGCATCTCCCCCCCGGTGATGTGGGGGCTCGTGCACTTGCTAGAGGCGAGGCCCTGGTTGTTCCTGAACTTGTACAGGACCACCGCAGGCAGACAGGATGCTGGGAACAGTCGGCGCCCTGGGAAGTGAACGCTGCTGGGTTCCGATGGCAGTGGCGAAGTCAGCAGCAGCCACCCCCTATGAGAGGCACGGTGCAGGCTATAGACCTCCACAGAGGTAACTGCGAAGGGTCGGCGTCAGGATTCCACCCCGACCTCGCCATCACTTACTACTCAGACTCCCTGCACCTGGGAGGCCTCAGTTTCCACATCTGTGAAATGTGCATATGAATGCGTACATACTCCGGGGTTAGCGCCAGCGAGGCGGTCCCGCCGCGCCCGCACACACGCACTCCCCGTCTCCCGCCTACCTGAAGGGCTTGCTGTCGGGGTCCGTGTCCTTGAACCCCATCTCCTCGAGCTTACAGCGCCGGTACAGCTCGTAGTGGCGGGTGTGGGTCTGCTCGCGCAGGTCCTCCATGTTCACGCGGATCAGCATCTCCCGCAGCTTCACAAAGTCGCAGTGGTTTTCGTTCTCCACTGCAAGACACGGGGAGGGGGCGTCACGGTGGGCGGCTCTCAGCCGCGACGGCACGGAGGATCCGAAGCCACATTTCCGGGCAGTCTCGCGATCAGAGGCCTCACAGCCATCTGCGTGTCCGGAGGCGACCTTGACCCACATGACCACAGGGCCCAGTGTCACCTTCGTAGGCGGCGCAACTCGCGCTGGCTGGACAGAGGCCAGGCTTGTGGAAGCTTGGGCCCTCCCGTGTGGACAGAACCGGTCTACACCGCAACATTGCCACTCCCGGCTCCAAACCCGGGCCACATCCGCCACCCAAGCTGCCCACCGCTGTCCAAGGCAGCTTTTACATCCCATCCCAATTCATTTTATCAACACCGTTGTAGTTGAAAAATTTAAGATTCATTAAAAAAAAAAAAACTGTTCCTTGGGATCTCAGAGGAACTGTTTTTAACTCGCTTCCTCTCATGCATTTATCGCCTTTATTCGCAAAAACCGGAAGAGGCATGGGTACCTCTTAAGTCAACGTGGGAGCTTTCTGGAAGCTTACTACCTACTCTGCAGCATGGGGTGTGCCTTTCAAACACACAGGGGAGGCGGGAGAGAGCGTGTCCTTGGCGTCACAGGGACAGCCCGGACCTGTCCACAGGCTAAAGACTAAGGTCCCATCCACAGCACTCAACAGCAGTTCCACCTCCTCATAATGCGCAGACATTTACTGAAAAAACATTGAAGGGAGGCAGGCCGGCCAGAGATGAGGGAGGAACTGTTTGTGGAATTCGTTTTTTTTTTTTCCCCCGGCGTTCTGGCTCTGCCAGCGCCATGGGCTGCAGCTCCTAGGGAAAGGAGTGGACACTGAATTCCCCCACTGCCCGGCATCCTGGGGGCCACCCCGCAACCACGCTGCCTCCGTGTCTCCTGGCCTGGCTGCTGTCTCTTCCATCCCCACCTTCTCAACCGCCAAGGGCAAACCCCACGGCGCCCCAGGGCAAGCCGGAAGCCCGCCCGAGCCGTGCACGTACCCTGCACCACACCCCAGGGGTACTGCCGGGCCTTGGCCATCTTGTTGCCGATCTTCACCTCCTCGGTGCTGCCGACCACAGCGAACGGCAGATGGACCTGCGGAGCCCAGAAGCAGAGTGGTGACTGCCTGTGCCCCAGGGCCTGGCTCCCCCCTGCCCCCCACGCTCCCTCCTCCCGCAGCCCCGACTCCGCGGGGAGAGAGAAAGCAGGAGACGCCAGGCCGCCGTGGGTGCCTTCCCTGTGTCCTGCCTCCACCACATGCAGACACTGGACGTCCGACATGAACCAGATTCACGGAGAGGCCGTAGATGAGTATGTGCCGCTAACCCGAAATCCCGAAAATCTGAAACTTCCTGGGCACTGTCACAAGCGGAAAACTTCGCACCTGCCTCCACGTGACAGTGAAAACGCGGGTACATGGCAAGTATTTTTATAAAACAGCCTCCAGGGCAGGCATCCAGCCTAGTGGTGAAGACACTGGGCTGGATTATATTTCATGAAGTATAAAAACAGATCACATTTTGGATGAATATGTGGAGACTATCTTCAGTGTAACCTATACACTGTATTTCAAAGACCTGTTATGAAAAGGTCTCAATAATTTTTATATTGATTATATGTTCGAGTGATAACATTTGGGATTTACTGAGCTAGTTACATTCTCGAATTTCATGTTTCCTTTTACTTTTTTTTAAATATTTATTTATTTTACTTGAAAGTCACAGCTACACACAGAGAGAAGAAGAGGCAGAGAGAGAGAGAGAGAGAGAGAGAGAGGGAGGGAGGGAGGGAGGGAGGGAGGGAGGGAGGGGGAGATGGAGAGAGAGAGAGAGGGAGAGAGAGTGAGAGAGAGAGAGAGAGAGAGAGGTGTCTTCCATCCGCTGGTTCACTCCCCAGATAGCTGCAGCAGCCTGAACTGTGCTGATCCAAAGCCAGGAGCCAGGAGCTTCTGGGTCTCCCATGCGGGTACAGGGGCCCAAGGACTTGGGTCATCTCTACTGCTTTCCTAGGCCACAGCAGAGAGCTGGATCAGAAGTGGAGCAGCTAGGTCTTGAACCGGCACCCATATGGGATGCTGGCACTGCATGCAGTGGCTTTACCCTGCACGCCACAGCGCCAGCCCCTTACTTTTTTTTAATGTGGGTGCTAGAAAACTTTAAAATACTGGTGTGGCTCACATTATATTTCTGTCAAACAGCACTGCTGTAGTCGGTTGGCCACTGCACAAATTTTAAGTCAGATACGCACTTCAGCCCAAAATACTGGCTCAAGATTTAAACCAGAGTTATCTCAAGCAGAGATAGTATTGGAGACAACGGACTCTTTCCCTCTGGTCTATCTGGTACAAGTGGTATTCTGTCGGATGCTCAAGGTATTTAAATTTCCCAGTTCGGTTACAGGAAGGAAAGACTGGGGCTCCAACCCTGAAGGTGAGGAGCGAGGAATCGTTACCTCACTCAGCCCCACAGCGTAGGGATTTCATCAGCAAGACTGGGTGGCAGTGAAGAGTCTACAAGGCAACGTCTTGCTAAGGAACGGGATCAATTGGAAACGTCTCGGGTCTTCATTTCTGGGGCAGGCACTTGGCGTTGTGGTTAAGACACTGCTTGGGATGCCTGCATCCCACATCAGAGGGCCTGAGTTCAAGACCCAGCTCCACTCCTGATTCCAGCTTCCTGCTGATGTGCACCCTGGGAGGCAGCAGGTGATGGCTCAAGTGGTTGGGTCCCCGACACCCACGTGGGAGACCTAGAAGGAGTTCCTGGCTCCTGGTGTCAGCCTGGCCCCCAGCCCTGGCTGTTGTGGGCATTTGAAGTGTGAACCAGCAGAAGGGAGCCCTCTGGCTGTCAAATAATCAAAAAAACAAAACAAAGCTTGAACTTGGGTCTGTTAATTTGATGAAGACAGAAAGACAAAGGTTCCTGGGAATGTATTTTCCAGAAGTTTAACACAAATTTTGTTTTCATGGCCATGAGAAATTATTTGGATGGATGGGAAGGGAGGGGGGCATAAAAAGATATGAGGTGGCATCCACTCAGGAAGCTTCCTGCACATCCCACACTGCTCGCCTGCAGCGGCACACAGCAGTGCACGTGGGCTTGGGCCTCTGCCCACACTACGGAACAGCACGCTGCTCTGCTCAGCCTGCGGTTGCCGCCGGGGTGACTGCGTCAGCTCCAGAGCCAGACTGCCTGGGTTCAGACCTTCCCTCCACGCCCACCGGTGTGCAACCGTAGGTGGTGAGCTGCAGTTTCCTTGTGCCGGGGATAGGGGTGTGGTACAACAGGTTAGGCTGCCACCTGTGAGTGATGCCAGCATCCCCTATCAGAGCAGCGGTTCGAGTCCCGACCACTCCACTTCTGGTCCAGCTCCCTTCTGATGTGCCTAGGAAAGTAGCCTGGACCCCTGCTATCCGTGTGGGACATCTGGACAGAGTTGTAGGCTTCTGGCTTTGGCTGGGCCCAGCCCTAAGCATTGCGGCCATTTGAGGAATGGACCACCGGAGGATTTCTCTCTCTGCCTTTCAAATAAATAAATAAATAAATAACAACAATATCTAGTCATGGGACTGTTGTGAGGATTGTACACAAAGCCTTGAGCAGCGCTACAAGCCCCATCACCGTTAGGATTCCCAGGTGCCCATGTCGTTATGAAGATCCCGATCCCCGTGAGGAGTCCAGAGGTAGACAGGATCTGACAGATCCCCACAAGAAGTCCAGAGGTGGACAGGATCTGGCAGATCCCACAAGAAGTCCAGAGGTGGACAAGGTCTGACAGATCCCACAAGAAGTCCAGAAGTGGACAGGATCTGACAGATCCCATGAGAAGTCCAGAGGTGGACAGGATCTGACAGATCCCCACGAGAAGTCCAGAAGTGGACAGGATCTGACAGATCCCATGAGAGAAGTCCAGAGGTGGACAGGATCTGACAGATCCCCATGAGAAGTCCAGAGGTGGACAGGATCTGACAGATCCCATGAGAAGTCCAGAGGTGGACAGGATCTGACAGATCCCATGAGAAGTCCAGAGGTGAACAAGGTCTGACAGATCCCCGGGAGAAGTCCAGAGGTGGACAAGGTCTGACAGATCCCCGGGAGAAGTCCAGAGGTGGACAGGATCTGACAGATCCCCACAAGAAGTCCAGAAGTGGACAGGATTTGACAGATCCCATGAGAAGTCCAGAGGTGAACAAGGTCTGACAGATCCCCGTGAGAAGTCCAGAGGTGGACACGATCTGACAGATCCCCATGGGAAATCCAGAGGTGGACAAGGTCTGACAGATCCCATGAGAAGTCCAGAGGTGGACAGGATCTGACAGATCCCCATGAGAAGTCCAGAGGTGGACAGTATCTGACAGATCCCCATGAGAAGTCCAGAGGTGGACAGGATCTGACAGATCCCATGAGAAGTCCAGAGGTGAACAAGGTCTGACAGATCCCCGGGAGAAGTCCAGAGGTGGACAAGGTCTGACAGATCCCATGAGAAGTCCAGAGGTGGACAGGATCTGACAGATCCCCATGAGAAGTCCAGAGGTGGACAGGACCTGACAGATCCCCACGAGAAGTCCAGAGGTGGACAAGGTTGACAGATCCCACGAGAAGTCCAGAGGTGAACAAGGTCTGACAGATCGTCCAGCCTCCACAGCATCTCAGAACCTGCAGTCCCAATGACCTCCGTGAGCTGTGGCTCCACCACAAGGATCCGGGAGATCAGTGTAGACGTCGCACACACCGCCCTTCTGCCCACTAGTTTGCGTTCTTCTGAATCAGGCCAGCCAGCTTCCTTAGGGCAACCTTCCTCCCGTGCCTCCCATACCCGTCTCCCAGGAAGAGCCTGCTCTCCAGCTGCCTGAGGACCCTTTCCCATCCCGGTTCCAACAGGCGTCCCAGGGCATCTACTATGTGCAGAGAACGCCGCCATGACAGGGGGAAGTGTAGGGAGCTCACTGGGGCTCGGGGGAGCCGTGGCCAGGACTCACACAAAGGAGCGCTGGGAGCCACCCAGTGTCACTGGCAGGGATGGCATCACCAGGACATCTCAGCCTCACGGCAGCTTTATACTCATTTGCCACCTGCCTAGCTCCTGTCTGTGATGTGGGAATCGAACCCCGAACCCTCAACTGCAAGTTTACCCAGTGAGTCAGAAAAGGGTGGGAAGACAGGGCGCAGGGAAAGCCAGGACCAATCAGCGGCGTGGAAGTGAGGCGGGTGGGCGGGAGAAGCCACTGAGGTCTGCTTCCCCCAAGCTGCTTTGTGGGAAAGAAACGGTGCTGGGTTGGCCCCACAGGGACAGTCTTAGACACCATCACTGCCAGAGTGCAGGGGACAGGCTTTTCGGCATATATATAAGGAGAGAGATCAAGAGTGAGACAGGGGCCGCCTGTGTGGTAAGGCCGCCGCCTGCAGTGCCGGCATCCCATATGGACACCAGTTTGAGTCCTGGCTGCTTCTCTTCCGATCCAGCTCTCTGCTATGGCCTGGGAAAGCAGTGGAAGATGGCCTAAGTCCTTGGGCCCCTGCACCTGTGTGGGAGACCTGGCGGAAGCTCCTGGCTTCAGATCAGCCCAGCTCCAGCTGTTGTGGCCATTTGGGGAGTGAACCAGCAGATGGAAGACCTCTCTCTCTCTCTTTCTCTTTCTCTCTCTCTCTGTGTGCCTCTCAAATAAATAAATAAATCTTAAAAAAAAAAAAAAAAAAAAAGTGAGAGAGCTCTTCCATTCGCTGGTTCAGTCCTCAACTGCCCAGCAGATGGGGCAGGGCCGGGCTGAAGCTGGCACCTGGAGCCACCACCACTGCCTCCCCGGGGCTGCACAAACAGGAGGCTGGAGTTCAGAGCGGGAGTTGAACCCAGACACTGAGGAGTATCTAGACCACTGGGCCTGCCTTGGGAAGGAAATTTAAGATCGTCTTGTCCAAGTCTCCCATTTGACAGACAGGGAAACCAAGGCACGGGCTGGCTAGGCGGCTTTCAGCACTGGCAGAGACGGATGAGGACTGAAGTCTGGCCCAGGGCTCACGCCACTCTGATGGCGCCGCTAGGGAAAGCTTTCAGGGAAACCTCGGGCCTGCCTGGCTCGGGCCTTACGCTCATGGTCGCGTTGATCTCCGCCACCGTCTCCTCATCCGTGGGGAACTGGTATATCTGGACCCCGTTGCTCACGAGTTCACTCATGATCTTGCTTTTGAATTTGTGCAATTCGTTCTTGGCAATGGTGTCAGCTTTCGCAATGATCGGAATGATGTTAACCTGAAAAACAAACATGTCCATCCTGACACAGTTCCAACAGTAAAAGAAAAAGACATCCACTAGACAGTGAGTAAAATGCAACACACAGACAGGACTGTCCCATCTCCGAGCGCTCTCCCTTCCTCCCATCCTCACAGAACTGAAAGCACACTTGTAATCTCTCCGGTGCCACCTCATGCTTGTGCACACAGGAAAGGAAGTGTTATTATTCTATGACACACGGCACTAACAAAGGAGCCCATTCTTTGAATAACCAACCACTCCTGCCAGACCCCTCCCCGCGACTCTGGGTGCCTGACTTCTGCTCGCCGTGACAGTGCAGTGACAAAGCGTGTGTCGGCGGGGGCACTGGGGCCTGTCAGCCCTCTCCCTCCTCTGAGGACCTGAACATTGCTGGGAGAGAGAACAGAAGTATCAGCCGAGCACAAGTGCGCTCACCTGCTTTTGAAGTTTTTCAAAATCCCACCCACTGCTTCCTTTGAAAAGCGCCTTCTATCAAACTGCACCTTCGTGCCAGAGTGAGGCCTGGTGCCAAAGGCAAGGCTCACTTCCTGAGCCGCGGTTACACAGAACGGGGCAGAGCTCGGGGCGTGACACGGACGGCAGAATGGCCAGAATGAGCCAAGGACAGACACCCTACATAGCACAAGCTCCAAGCCCCACGGTGGGACGTTCTCCTGTCCCATCGCCCCCAGCCCTACATTCTGACCAGGTTTCTCTAGGTTCTGCAGATCTGATACCTAGGACAGCGATCGCCACCCAGCTCAGGTGAGAGCCATCCCAGCCGGGGAATGCAGGTCAGGGAGGTTTCGGGGTCAACTCTGCATTCCTTCACTTCTCCCCTGATCCCAAGGGCCAAACCAGAAAGCCCTGAGCAAGCAGAACGAGATGGGTGCTGGTAGAAGATGCTGTTCACTCTCACCCAGCTCCCAACCCAACACCTCCAGGTGCCTGGGCTTCCTCCAGCAGCGGGCAGACCAGGATGAACATCTGCCCGGAAGGGAGCGCTGGGGTCAGGACCTGGGGGACAAAACCCTCCCCTGTGGCTCTCACTGGCTTTCTGTGTACACATGCAGTATTCAATCGGCACCAACAGAGACAAGATGACAGAGAATCCACGCCATCTGGATTGCAAAACCATATTCCTCATTGGCAGCAGCTTGCCAGCTGTTCGTTAAATGATCTCCCCTCCACTTATAACTCGGGAGTGGGGGACATGTGGCCCCGTGAGGTCATTTGCTGTGACCTTGCCAAGGCGACCACAGGAGAGACTCGAAGCTCAACACATCTCTAGCAGGCTGATTTCTAAACCGGTAATTCTGTTATGGTCCGCGATTGGTGTTATAAATATACAAGTAGCCCTTGGCAGAAGAAAAGGTTCCCCAGCCCTGAATACAACTTGGATGAGGCATCTCCACACGCTTCCTGGCTCTCCTGGGCAGTGGCACATCAGTGCTTTGCAAGATCAACCCAGCTTGTGTGTGGGCTTTCATTCCTTGTGTGTGTTCTGTCCAGTCAACTCCACGACACAGAACCCTCTGGCTGGGCTGAAGCCTGGCTTGGTCTACATCCGGGGCCCTGAGCTAGGAAGCCCCCCTCCCTCAAATTCCTTGAGAACATGTGTGGAGCACGCAGGCTCCAGGCACGGGGACAGGTCCCTGCACTGCAGGACATGATTGCGGGGGAAGCTGCCCTCATGGCCCAGGACCCAGCCCAGTTCCCAGGGGCCAGGGTGCAGTGGCAGCAAGTGGGCCAAAGAAGGGTTTCTGCAGATCCTGCGTGGGGACTGTGGCAGCAGCGACCCTCTGAGGCCATCAGGACATTTTTCTGTAGGTCGCTGTGTCTGTGCCTGCTGGAAGCCCCAGCCACCAGGCTCGGCTGCAGCCTGGCTCAGACAGCGGCTCTGGGGACAGGCAGATCTTCTGAGCCTTCTCTCATGGTTCTGTGCCCCTGAATGGTGTTGATTAGACAGAAATCTAACACCCAACAAGGGTGCCCACCAGGCTTCACGGCGCTGTGGCGTAGTGGGCCAAGCCTCCACCTGCAGCGCCAAAATCCCATACTGCTGCTGGTTCGTGTCCTGGCTGCTCCTCTTCCAATCTTGCTATGGCCTGGGGAAGCAGCAGAAGATGGCCCAAGTCCTGGGGCCCTGCTCCCCCATGGGAGACCCGAAGAAGCTCCTGGCTTCTGGCTTTGGATGAGCTGAGCTCCAGCCATTGTGGTCATCTGGGGATTGAACCAGCAAGTGGAAAATCTCTCTGTCTCTCCTCTCTGTAACTGCCTTTCAAATAAATAAATAAAATCTTTAAAACATAAAAGGGTTTCATTACCCGCCTGACACTTTCCATTTAAGACAAAAAGGGGTTAGGATCTAGGAGAAAACACCACCGCTAGGGGGCGTTCTTGTTACCATGTGTTAGCATGTCTGTTTCAAAATGGAAAATCAAATTAACCATAACATAGGCCATCAGACTTCAAACTTGTCAATCCCTTCCTTCAAATGTTAGGGGAAAAGAAGTTACGAATGTGTCGAGCCGAGGAGTCAGAGTGAAACGCAGGCTTTACTGCTTCTGGACACCCATGTGTGGTTCCGTTTTAAAATCTGATGTGGACCACCCATATCACAATAGGCCAAAAAGCAAAACAAAGCAAAAGCCAAAACAAAAAGCACTCTTGGGCTAAGTGGCTGCACACAACACCAACATCCCATTTCAGACTGCTGGTTTGTGTCCTGACTGCTCCACTTCTGACCCAGCTCCCTGCTAATACTCCTGGGAAGGCAGCAAATGTGCTTGGGCCCCTGCTATCCGTGTGGGAGACCCAGATGGAATTCCGGGCTCCAGCCCAGGCTGCTGTAGGCATTTGCGGAGTGAATCAGCAGCTGGAAGAATCCATCACTCTGCTTTTCAAATAAATAAATATATTAAAAAAAAAAAAAAAAAAAAACCACTTTTGTTTCATCCAAACCTTTTAATTAAAGCCAAACCCTATTTAAAAACTCTTTAAAGAGAGATTTACGCAAAGTTTTTTTTTAAAAGAAAACAAACATAAATCTTGAAATTATATTCCAACTTCCCATTTAAGAACTAAAAATATTTTATAGCACGCCATGTGCTTTCGCTTGTCTGGTACTTTTATTTTGGCCTCACAGCCAGGAGAGGTTTGGAAGCATCTTTCTCACACCGCCAAGCCCTATGGATCTGCAATCCAGAAAATACAAATGACAGGGAAAGAGAAGAATTGGGGCCTCGGGACAAAGGTGAGCTCAAAGGGAGTGCAGAGAGTACCTTACTGTCCAGCTTTTTCATGGTCACCAGGTCCAGGGACTTCAGTGAATGTCCAGTGGGGGCGATGAAGTAGAGGCAGGCGTGGATCCGGGTGTCATGGTAGTTGAAGAGAGAACGCTTAATCTTCAACTCCTCCTGCAGGTAGGCCTCGAACTGGGCATCGATGTACTCCACGATCGGCTTATAGCTGGAGCGCGGAAGAGCGTTTGGAAAACATGTTTTCAGACCAGGCGTTGGCGGCCTTAACCCTCCCCGTGGTTCGGTGTGGACAGTCCTGCAGCAACTGCCATCACTTGTACCCCTCTCCCAGAAGAGCTGGAGGCTAAGTTCCTTACCTGAGCACCTGAAGCCTCCAGCCCCCTGCACCGACTCGCCAGGCTCGCTCCCCATTCGCCTCTCCCACTCCCTCCCTGACCCAACAGAACACAACCACAGGAGAGGCCCCCAAGCCGCACGCTCTGCTTGCCTGGCTGGAGCAGCCTGCTCCCCAGGGCTCTCAGGCTAACACTTCGTCCTGCACAGTGGAGATGACAGGAGCTGCAGCGCAGTGCCACGTCCCCAGGGCCCACCTGTGGCACACACTGCTAAGGGAGCGAGGCATTGCTTCCAACTGGGCCAAAATTGAGCCTCAAAACCCAGCCTCCCCTGCCGACTGGCATGGGCACACAAAACCAAACGGCTCCGTGCTCCCCTAGGCCTGTGCAAATCTATGATTCCATCTGGAAACCCAAAGGCCAGCACTCAGATTTTCAAATTCCTTCCAACGCAAAAATCTTAAGATTTAAAAACAGAACAAAACAACAGCAAGAAGAAAAATCATTTATTTATGTATTTGAAAGGCAGAGTTACAGAGAGAGGGAGAGGCAAGGAGACAAATCTTCCATCCACCAGTTCACTCCCTAAATGGTTGCAATGGCCAGGGCTGAGCCAAGCTGAAGCCAGGACCCTGGAACTTCATCTGGGTCTCCTATGTGAGTGGCTGTGGCCCAGGCACTTGGATCATCTCTGCTGCTTTCCCAAGCTCATCAACAGGGAGCTGGATTGGAAGTGGAGCAGCCAGGACTCGAACCAGAGCCCAGATGGGATACAGGTGCTACAGGCGGCAGCTGTACTGCTGTACCACAGAACTGGCCCCCAAAATTTTATGATTTAAAGGTAAACTGAGGGGCCAGCGCTGTGGCATAGTGGGTAAAGCCACTGCCTGCAGTGCCGGCATCCCATATGGGCCCTGGTTCAAGGCCTGGCTGCTCCACTTCCAATCTAGCTCCCTGCTGATGAGCTTGGGAAAGCAGCTGAAGGTGGTCCAAGTGCCTGGGTTCGTGTCCTGGCTGCTCCACTTCCGATCCAGCCCTTTGCTATGGCCTGGGAGAACAGCAGAAGATGGCCCAAGTCCTTGGGCTCCTGCACCCATGTGGGAGACCCAGAAGAAGCTCCTTGCTCCTGGCTTCAGATCGGCGCAGCTCCGGCTGTTGCGGCCAATTGGGGAATGAACCAGCGGATGGAAGACCTCTCTCTCTCTCCCTCTCTCTCTGCCTCTCCTCTATGTAATTCTGACTTTCAAATCAATAAATAACTCTTTTAAAAAAATTTAAAAATAAAGATAAACTTAGTAACTCTCTGCCTATCACCCAATCCATAATTCAAATCTGCTTTGGATAATTATGTATGAAGCCATTCAGTGGCCACACAAGCACTAGCAGCCTCCTGGGGATACATATGCAACAAACCACACGTTCTCCAGTGAACAATCCACCTGTCAGATCACTGCGAGGAACCCAGGAACTCCTCCAGGTCGAGGGAACTACTTGGGAAGTTTGTTTTAGCAGCACAGAGGACTGCCAGTCCATGAGGAAGGCCAAGGTTATTATTCTCCACAAAGCCACTCCCTTTCTGAGGAATGATTTAAACTTTAAGGAAACCTTTTTTTCGACACACAAATCCAAGACTCATAAATTACACTGAAATCTTCCAAAGTGAACTATGACTGTTTTATGACAAGAGTGAAAGTAGATATCCAAAGAAAAACAAACAAAAACCTCAAAGGTAAACAATGAACACAATCCATGCCCAAAACTAAAAGGTCGCAGCCAGCGTTTGGTGGGCTTCCACCACTTGTGACGTCAGCATCCCGTGTCAGAGCACTGGTTAGGGTCTTAGCTGCTCTGTTTGATCCAGTTCCCTGCAACCTCCTGGGAAGGCGGAGGAAGACAGCCCGAGGTGCTTGGGTGCCTGCACCCATGAGGGAGACCAGGAGGAAGTTCCTTGCCCCTGACTTGGGTCTGGCTCAGCCCTGGCTGTTGTGGATATTCAGCGAGAGAACCAGTAGATGGAAGATTTCTCTTTCTCCCTCTCTGCCTCTTTCTCTCTGTCACTCTGCCTTTCGAATAAATAAATCTTAAAAAAATTTTTTTGGTAAATCTTATCATAATCCACTAGTTCAATTTAAAGAAACATTTATTTTACTTATTTGAAAGGCAGAGTTACAGGGAGAGAGAGAGAATGTTCCATTCTTTGGTTCACTCCCCAAATTGCTGCAACTGCCAGGGCTAGGCCAGACTGAAGCCAGGAGCTTCTTCCGGGTCTCCCACATGGGTACAGGGGCCCATGTACTTGGGCCATTTTCTACTGCTTTCCCAGGCCACAGCAGAGAGCTGGATCGGAAGTGAAGCAGCCTGGACTTGAGTGGGTGCCCAAATGGGATACCATCATTGCAGGAAGTAGGTTTACCTGCTAAGCCACAGCACTGGCCCCCTGGAGGTATTTTGTTTTATTTTGATTTTTTTTTTTTTTTAAGTTAGACTGTGCTTCAGGAATAATGAAGTCTAGGATCATGGCAGGTAAAATTCTAGTGAAAAGGATAAGCAGAGGCCCAAGAACCTCAGGCATCCTCAACTACTTTCCCAGCCCATCAGCAGAGAGCTGGATGGGAAGTGTAACAGCAGGGACTTGAAAAGTTGCCTATAAGGGATGCCAGCTTAACCTGCTGTGCCATGATGCCAACCCTGAGAAGACTGCTCTGTTTTTCAATTTTAAAAGGCAGGCATGTTGGTGCCAGCATTGTGAAGCAGGGTTTTAAGCTACAGCCTGTGACATCAGCATCCCATGAGCGCCAGTTCCAGTCCAGGTTGCTTGCTTCTAATCCAGCTCCCTGCTAACAGGCTGGGAAGGCAGTGGAAGATGGCCCCAAGTGCTGAGCGCTCAGCCACACTAGTGGAAAGCCCAGATGTGGCTCCTGGCTGCTGGCTTTGGGAGTGAACCAGCTGATGGGAGGATCCCTTTTCCTCTCTTTCTGAGTCTGCTTCTCCCTCTCCCTCTGTCACTCTGCCTTTCAAATAAAATAATATTACTCAACAACGACAACAACTATTACTTTGGAATAGTTCCATAAAGTGTGGATTAGCAATACAGATTCAGATTTAAGTCCAAAACCCAGAAGCCGGAGCTGTGGCATAGCAAATTAAGCAGTGCTGGCATCTCATATGGGTGCTGGTTCGAGTGTCAGCTGCTCCACTTCCGATCCAGCTCTCTGCTAATGTGCCTGGAGAAATAGTAGAAGGTGGCCCAAGTGCTTGGGCCCCTGCCAGCCACATGGGAGACCCATAAAAAGCTCCTGGCTTCAGCCTGGCCCAGTAGATGGAAGATTTCTCTGACTCTCCCCATCTCTCTCTGTAACTCTGCTTTCCAAATAAGTAAAATGTATCTTTAAGAAAAAAAAAAAAAAGGTCAGAACCCAGCTGTCCAACTTCCTACAGCCACATACAAGCTCTGAGCAAGTCACAAACTCTCTGTGGGTCTCAATGTCCTTGTATGTAAATCAGGGACAAAACAGCTCCATTAGAAACAAATGAGCTAAGGAATACACAGGGCTACTTAAAAACTTCATGAAAAAGCAAAGTTAAAAGTTTACAGTGATGCCAAAAGAAAAGCAAAAGCCATGCAGTTTTCAAGAATTCACATCTTTCATGAACTTCTCCAAGACCCCTCACGTGCACCCATTCCAAAAATACCTTTGTACCCACAAACTCAGCTTTTAATTCCATTTTCTACAAACTCTTAGAAATACGTCTTTATGGAAAGGGCTGGCACAGAAAAAGACACCTATTTCGTAATTATAATAAGTAAGATTCTATTAACAAGGTTAATCTGAGTTTTTAGAAAGATACCAAAAAGGCAACTTGCTGCTTGCCCAGCTCCGTGGTAAGTGTTCTGCTCATGACTCACTGTGCCCTATGGGGAAGTGGCCAGGCCACGGGGCCCAGGTCCACCCATGTCAGCGTGGGACGGGTCCTCCAAGCTCCGGACACCGAGGTCTGCGGACAAGGGCCCTTCCCTAGCCCCCTGGGCCCAGGGCAGAGAAAGCAGCTCACAGCCAACGGCTCCCGCCTGCCTCCACAGCATCTGATCTTGAGCTCTGAGCGCCGCCTCCCCTCCCCAGTGTCCACGTGTGCTTTTGCTTTCCATTCATTTCCCTCTTCCTCTGGTTTTCATTCTGATCCTCCCAAGACCGGGGAAGACTCAACATCTCCCCTTTTCCAACGAGGAATGCTCTTTAGGCTGGGTTCTCTTGCTGACTTCAGCCCTCCTTCTGCCGCCCCCATTGGGCAGCCTGGGGCCAGCCTTGGTAGCTCCCTTCTTTGCACACTACAGGGTCTCCCTGGAAAGCCACGTGTGTTCCTGCACTTCACCCACCATTGATGGATGACGAGTCACAGGCTTCAGACACACCCACCCACTGCGTCTCAGCCATTTCCAATTGCTCTTCTAACTGAGCACATCCCAAAGCCAACCCTTTGCCCTGCACCCAAGCCCATGCTTGCCCTAAATTCCTTAGCACAGCAAACGGTGCCACCATCCACAGCCCCAGCCAAGTTAAAAACCTGGGATTCAATGTGGGGACCTCCCGCTCCCCTACTTGCACACACAGTGAACTGTGAAGTCCCGCCCCTTTTACTGTCTATACCACTGTCAATATATAAAAGAAATGGATTCCTGGAGGACTATTTACCCAAACCACCATTCCGCATGTCCAAGACATAACTATGCCAGCAGAAGGTTCTTTTGGGGAGAAACAAGCCCGCTACCAGGTCAGTACTCCTCTCCATCACCTTGAAATAAATGCTCTGCTCTTTCCTTGCACTCTTATCGATTTCTTGTTATCTACATTCAGGGTCAGAAAGACAAGGAAGC